CTCGGACGTCTTTTAAACTGAGTTTTACTGTGGGTATTGCTGTGTGTATGTTTATTCTTCATTGGCTAGAGGTATAGGGGGAGGGTTGAGATCTCACAAAACATGTTTAACATTGTCACATTTTTGCGCCTGTCCCAAGTCAGGAGCCTTTGTTAGCAAGGTTAGTCTTGTATGTTTTTTAAATTTAGTTCAGTCATATGTTTTGGAGTTTAGTGTGACGTCCATTTTCACTGAACTAGTACACATTTGTGTTTAGGGGCCAGCTGAAGCCCCCTCCGGGCGCGGGATTTTTTCGCTGTGTTGAAGACCCATTGGTGGCTTTGGCTGTTTTCTGTTCTTTGGTTGAGGTTGTTGTCTCTTTGTCGGACACATTCCCTATTTCCATTCTCAATTTTATTTTATACTTTTCTTAGAACATCTGTTATTAACATAATTGAAATAAGTTATTAGAATTGAGAATGAAAATGGGGAATATGTCAAAGAGACAACAACCCGACCAAAGAGCAGAAAACAGCCCAAGGCCACCAATGGGTCTTCAACACAGCGGGAAAATGCTGCACCCATGCAGAGGCGGGCTTCAGCTGGCCCGTATTCAATAATGTTCAGCAAAATGGATGCCACACTGTCACTAAACTCTGAAACATATAAATGAACCAAAATTAAAAAAACACGACCCAAGATTAACAAAGTCTAGAGGTTTCTGATATACCTAATATACATGTATGTCATATGCATGTATATTGTAATTTGGTTTAGTAAATTGATTTTATTCAATAATGTCATTGAATTTTGTAAAGTAATTTTACTTAAATTCTACAATTTTAAACTAATAAACATGATAAATAGCATATTTATTATGTTTATGTGTTATTGAAATTTTCAGTGTCTCTTTATATAACTGACACATTTTTTGCTTCTCAAAAGATTTTCTTTATTCTTATTACTTTCATTAAAACTTATTTATGGATACAAGAACTTGTTGAAACGTCAATGTTCATTTCTTTTTACATTCATGTAAAGATAAATTAGCATTTAAAAACATATTTATTTCTTATGTGATGTAAGTAGTAGTTTACAGTACATTGAAGTTTATTGATGCTAATGTTATAATCTTATAAAAAGAAGTTTATCCAGGATAAGCTATCATTTTAAAAGGAAAGACATAAATCATGTTAATATTACCGTTGAGAATTTAGTTTTGGTTGTAGAGTTAAGTCATTGCCATAGCCCATTTAACATATACTTTTGTTTTAAGGGGTTACAGAACACCTAAGGGAGTTAACTCTTAAAAATCAGCTGAACGTTTTAATCACATACTATTAGAATGGAGAAATCAAGCTTTTCAACGATCAAAAATAGTGTTTGTCAAACTGCTATATATCCAACCAAATTATTCCTGTAAATTGTGTGGTTCAAATTTCTAGAAATTTTCATATTTTTGTCAACAGATCAGAGTAAATATTTTGTCAAAACTTTATGAAAATTAAATGAGCCAAATCTATTTTAGTCAAAGTGTTGGGTACTCCCTTAAGGAAACTTCAATAAATCATTAATTTACCATAGCCTTTTTTATGGTGCCATATTAAACTAACTTCATCCAATAACTGAATAGGTGTAAACTTTCAAAACCTCAAAGTTATAAATCTCCCAAGTGTAATATGTTAGTAAGGGCTGAGAGGGGTATTTGCAGTAAAACATATTTCTCATTGTTTCTGGTATTAAAACTAGAAGTTTTAAAATTATTTTATTTAACCTTATACATACATTGACATGCTTGCAGTCTGCACCGTTAGCCACTAGTCTGATGCCCCAAACTTGTAAAATTTTATTCGGACTAGTAGATTTTGCAAAAACTTTTTTTAGACACATAAGGAAGATGTCTAAATATTTGTCTTGGGACTAGTAGTTGGAAAGGATTTTGGTGCAGACTGTAACTTGAATTGTTTAGAGATAAGGATATGTGGTATTAATATTATGGTGGTACCAAACACCTTAACTAAAATTAATTTGGCTCGTTTAATTTTCATAAAATTTTGACAAAATATTTACTTTGACCCTTTGACAAAAATATAAAAAATTAAAAAACTTGAACCACACATTTTATCGGAAAAATTTCATTGGATATATCTAGCAGTTTGACAAACACTAATCATTGAGAATCTCAATATTTCTTTAACAGTATAATGTGATTAAATCGTTCAGCTGATTTTTACAGAGTTATCTCCCTGTAGTGTTATGTACCACCTTAAGCCAAATAAGACAATTAATCACCAAAATACAAGGATCATAAACACCTAAAACTTACAATCTACACTCAGATGATTTAAATTACCGGGGTATCAATGAAGTAATTAGGTAGACTTACAAATCAATTTAAAAAGCTAAGACTTCTCCTTTTATTTTTTCTTTATTTCTTTCACTTTTCTAAACGTTGATGAATATTCTTTGAACTTTTTAATGACAACAATGGCTTTGTTCAAAATTATTATAATTTATATACTGTGTAATCAATACTTATGATTAAAAAATTGAAATTCCATGTCCACTCTTTTTTTTGGGGGTATGGGAGACAGGTGACATCTACAGGTTTCCCCCTCCCACTATTGACTGGTGGCAATGGTAAAATCTACACATCAGCTGTAGTGTATATACAAAATGTATTAAACATTGACTCTTTTATTTAATGTCAAATGTTTTCACGCTGAAGTTATCGTCTTCACCTAAAGTTATTTTTTTTAAAGTTTGTACGTGGCATTTTACCTTCATTTTGACCTTGTGGATTAAAGTTTTTACATCATACCCAACTACACATAAGAATAAGATAAAAGTTCATTACATGTATGATATATATATATATACATCATGTGCATTTTAATTTCTTTGCATTTTTGATGATCTGATATTTGTGGTTACTGATCATGTTTCAACCAAACTTTGACAAACTTGGATTATTTTGTTTGAACAAAACACCTACGACATTTGATAGATTTATTATCTAGAAGTGCACCTGTTAGGAAGTATGTATCGAAATTGACAATTTAAAACTTCATGAAATATTTATAAACAGCTTCATTGAAATTAATTAAAATTAAAAAGTAAATTGACAAACATGCTTTGAATTGCATTTTGTTGGACTAATTTGTTATACTTGTAAATGCTTATATATATTTGATCACAACCATGATAACATATATATTATATTACCATGGTTATAAGATGTTGTAATTTAAAAAAAAAATTCCAATTGAAAAAAAAAACTGATTTTAAGTTTAAGTGGTATTCTAGTAGATGCATAAGTTGTTGTTGGAATTGACCATTCAGGGAGATTATTTTCCTGATTAGTATAAATATTGGAGACTGTATATATTTGTCAATAGTTTATGATGTTGGACATATTGTTGCCTTAAGGATGTTCGCTACTCTGTTTCAAAATAACAAGCTTTTTAAAAGACTAGTTGATAGTATATAAATAATGGAACTTAAAAAGCAGAAAAAATGAAGGGTCCGTGTGCTTGTGTTTGAGATATAAGCCATTGAAAATTTGGCGGGAAATGATTCTCTCTAGATTTTCCATACTATTAACATTCTTTCAAAAAGTATGAAAAAATAACAAGGATTTTACAAGATGTTCAAATATGGCTTTTTAAACTATATGTTATAAAATTATGAAAAGAAAAGTTGGGCTTAGTGGGCAAATTTTGTAATGGCAATACATGGATAAAACCAGAGGATTCTGAATATCTTGACAAAAATTCAAAAACAATAGGAGCCAGGAGCGAACATCCTTAACTTCAGGTTTGCAGTTTCTTTCACATCTATATAAAATATAACAAGATGTTAAACAGTCATTCAACAATCAATCAATCATTTCAGAGTTTTGTTTTTTTAATTTTGGGTTTTGTAAAGTGCATTAAGGGATCTTGCTTCACTATTAACTGATGCAAAGTATTGTAACTCACACTTAATATCTTTGAGGCTCATGACACAATTTATTTTTTGATTGGTCCAAACATCACTTTGCTGATAACTAAAAATTGTGTTTTTTTAATTATTGTATTGATGGTTTGCTGTCTGGTTTGTATGTACATCTATACACCAATCTGATTGCAATATTATTGTATTGATGGTTTGCTGTCTGGTTTGTATGTACATCTATACACCAATCTGATTGCAATCATGTGTCCTCGTTATACTCACAAAGATCTGAAAACGCTTTGGTTTACTTTCTGTTTTCAAGACCTTTTGGGATCCTCTGGTTTTGTCATATTGATTCGCGCCTTCAAAAATTTGGGGGCAGAAATTTGATTGGCTGATGTAATAATTCCTGAAACAGAAAGTAGAATGGAATATTGTCAGATCCTTGTCAGAAAAGTGTGGATACAGGATCTGTATTTTTAATCGAATTGTGTATCTTCATATACCCACACACAAGTTTGAATATTGAATTTGATGAATGTTTAAAAGAAAGGGTGATAGAGTTTACATGATGACTGTGGTATGAAATTAAGGATTTTGAAAAAAAAGTCAATAATGGCATTGTGGGTGGATAGACACTCTCTTTAAAAGACAGTTCTTTGTCATTTATATTGATTGATTTTATCACAAGTAGGGTGGGTGGGTGGGTGAAAGAGGAATTGAAAAATACTTCAAATTCTTTTGCTAGCGTTTGGTTCACCAGTACATTAGAATTTTTGGATAGTCTATTTCTGGTTCTAAATATACTTATGTGCATGAAAAAAAACCCTGAAGATGGTGTTAAACACTGACAATCATACATATGGTAACAAATTCTTGGTTGTAAACTATACTAAGGCTTGTGATCCACTTCGACAAACCATGGGGACGATGAAAACTGGAACAAGAAAAAAGTTTTGTTTTCATTTGTTTCTACAAATTTAGTTTTTTTCATTTGTATGCACTAATATAATATTTTAGAAAAATCTTGACGCAGATATAGCTTTTTATAAATGATACTTGAAACAATTCATGTTACATTTCAGGATGATGGAAGAAACACAAGTCAGTGTTAACGATGAAAGTTACGACTACGACAGCTTTGACGAAAACAGTGATGAAAGACCTACAGAACGTTGGGCTCCACTAGGTGCTGCTGCCGTCAGTCCTGCTCCATCTCAGACAGAAACTAGGTATGTATTGTAAGAGTAATGTCATAGATCTACAGAACAGTGGGCTCCACTAAGTGCTGCTACCCTCAGTTCTGCTCCATCTCAAACAGGAACTAGGTATGTAATGCAAAAGTGTATGTCCCTTTCATAAATATTTGCACTAGACCTAGATTCAGCAGCCTCAACCCTTTAGTTCTATAACTCCTTTGGGAATTTTATTTATGTATTTTTTAGTGTGGACTTCGTGCTTAAGCAGTTTTGATGAAGGTAATGTGCATAAACTCTTACCTAGAAATGTACCTCACTCACTAATGAGGGTCTGTATCTGGTGTGCTGAATAGAAAATATTGGGCTAGAAAATAACCAATAGAGAAGTAATGACTAACATGACTAAGATATACAGAATAGACTTATACATGTAATGGGCAACAAAAATAAAGAATAGAGAAGTATTGGTAAAAAATAATAGAAGTATGGGCAATCAGATAAAGAAGAGAGAAGTATGGGCAAACAAATAAAAGGTAGAGAAATATGGGCAAACAAATGAAGAATACAGAAGTCTTGGCAAAAAAGAAGAGAGAAGTATGGGCAAACAAATAAAAAATAAAGAAGTATGGGCAAACAAATAAAGAATAGAGAATTATGGGCAAACAAATAAAGAAGAGAGAAGTATGGGCAAACAAATAAAAAATAAAGAAGTATGGGCAAACAAATAAAGAATAGAGAATTATGGGCAAACAAATAAAGAATAGAGAAGTATGGGCAAACAAATAAAGAATAGAGAAGTATGGGCAAACAAATAAAAAATAGAGAAGTATGGGCAAACAAATAAAGAAGAAAAAAAGTATGGGCAAACAAATGAAGAATAGAGAATTATGGGCAAACAAATATGGAAGAGAGAAGTATGGGCAAACGAATAAAGGAGAGAAGTATGGGCAAACAAATAAAAAAAAGAGAAGTATGGGCAAACAAATGAAGAATAGAGAATTATGGGCAAACAAATAAAGAGAGAAATATGGGCAAACAAATATGGGCAAACAAGTATGGAAGAGAGAAGTATGGGCAAACGAATAAAGATTAGAGAATTATGGGCAAACAAATAAAGAGAGAAATATGGGCAAACAAATATGGAAGAGAGAAGTATGGGCAAACGAATAAAGAAGAGAGAAGTATGGGCAAACAAATAAAAAAAGAAAAGTATGGACAAACAAATGAAGAATAGAGAATTATGGGCAAACAAATAAAGAGCGAAATATGGGCAAACAAATAAAGAAGAAAGAAGTATGGGCAAACAAATAAAGAAGAAAGAAGTATGGGCAAACAAATAAAGAAGAAAGAAGTATGGGCAAACAAATAAAGAATAGAGAATTATGGGCAAACAAATAAAGAAGAAAGAAGTATGGGCAAACAAATAAAGAATAGAGAAGTATGGGCAAACAAATAAAAAATAGAGAAGTATGGGCAAACAAATAAAAAATAGAGAAGTATGGGCAAACAAATAAAAAATAGAGAAGTATAGGCAAACAAATAAAGAGTAGAGCCCAATGTTGTGCTAAAATATAAAGAACAGAAAATATTTAATGATATGATAACTTACTATTTAAAGAATAAAGAATAAAATAAAATACTTATCAGTAATAAAATGAAGGAATACATAAATGAAGACCCCCAGCGTCCATCTCCCATCCAGACACTCTACCATAGTGTTGATGCCTCTTTCTAGATCATAATAACATCAAATTAAATATAAACCTAACATTTTCCTATGATATATAATAATTTTGGGTGTTGAAATTTATCTTTTTTATGCAGTGAAATTTTTTTTTTATGAAAAATTTGTAAACAAATGTAAATAATTATATCTGTATATTGTCAATATAAATTCCATAATTGAAAAAGATTATTGCTTAGATTATTGCAGTTATCTCATTTTATTTTTTTATAAAACTAAAATTATATTTATAAATTTTTCAGCCATCATGCACAGAATGATCAGTTACGACAGTTAGAAGAAGAGCAAGAACAGTTAAATTCATCACTACTAGCCCTGACCACACATTTTGCCCATGTCCAATTTAGATTGAAACAGATTGTTAGTGCACCTCCTGATGACAAAGAGGTAAAAACAGAAACAATTAATTTGATGATGATGGATGGCTGCTTAACATCAAGTGGCAAATTAATATGCATATTCAGGACTCGAACATGTTACTTAATATGAATATTAACCCTGCTTTGTACTAGACTGACACCCTGAGTCAGATTTTTAATGTGGTAGTTCACAAGGTAACAGTCCGCAGGAAGACATGTCACATTATTCTGACTCTGAGCCAACTAGTCTTTGGTGAGTGCTTACCAGAGAAGCAGCAAATACCAATTTTAAAATCTTCGGTTTGAACAGGCGGGGTTGAACCAACGACGCTCCGCACTCGAGGCTACCACAAGACCTCTGAGGCGGTCAGTTAATTTGAAGAGCTATCTGACCAAAAAGGACTTAAAAATGATAGCCAAATCCATCTTACTTATGAGGTCACTTTTAAGTTGTCACATTCAAATTGCATCATCAAGACTCCGCTAATAGTCACTTTTTCACTTCTTTTTGATGCATAAAAACTGTGATATTAAAGTAAGAATACCAGGAAATATATTATCATGATTATTTTGGTGAATTAATTGGGTTAAATAAGCTCTAAAGGTACCTTGTCCTTTAAACTGACAGGCCAATGCTTCCCAGGAGGAAATGACGAAATGCACATGAGCTATCCTGTAACACATAGATCAACCAATACTGTATATAGAACATGTAAGTAAGCTATAAATAGGCTCCTAACCACATATTGACCATTTATTGAATACTATTTATCTTCTGCAGACATTATTACAAGAACTGGAAGAGTTTGCCTTTAGAGGTATTCCTGATGCCAGATTATGTTTAGACAAAAAGTTAGAAGAGGTTCAAGAGGAAATGGTAAGTCCTTTTGAAATTTTTTTTTAGGTACAATTTGAAACCGAAGTCGTCCTTTGAAAAATTGAAACCTGAAAAAAATTACAATTTTGAGGGGTTGGCCTCCCTACTCTGTCTGGCCCATTTTGGACAAAACTTCCAAAAACAAACTAAACCTACATGAATATAATTATTGGTGGGGAGGGGAGCACTTATTATTGGTGGGGAGGGGAGCAGTTATTTTAGACACCAACCACTCATTATATAAAATAAAATTGAGAATGGAAATGGGGACTGTGTCAAAGAGACAACAACCCGACCAAAGAGCATAATACAGCCCAAGGCCACCAATGGGTCTTCAAAATAGCGAGAAAATACAGACCTGAACGCAGTGTTTGTTTTACTTATAATTCTTATAAAATTCTTAAAAAAAAGCAACCACCCACAATTTATTTATTTGAGCGTCTCCCATCCTGCAACCCCTATACATTTATATTTGGAACAGCCCATAACCTTTTTCTACCTTTTATTACAGAGCGATCAGGAGCATGAACAGAAATTAATAGAGCAGAGAGAGAAACAGAGAGAATTAATAGAACAGCTGAAAAAACAACTGGAGGAGTTAGAAACTTATGCTTACGAGGTTTGTAGTTCTAACATTTGTAGAATACCCCCCCCCCCCAAAAAAAAAATAGGTAATGCCAAAACACATGTAATTAACAGCATCTGGTGATGATTCGTAGTCTTTTTAGAATAGTCCATTTTCTAGTACTGTGGATTCATTTATTTTGATGGGTACCAATTTTTGAGGATTTAGGAAAAAATTGTTTTTATGAATATTTGATTTCTTGGTTTTACAAAAATCTGCACACAAGTCTATAGAAAATTTTACTTCGTTGGACACTTAAATTTGTGGTTCACCTGTACCCACAAAATCAACAGTAATTCCTATCCCATGAATACAAATATTTTTAAAAATCATGTAAAACAGATGGTTTCAGAATGAAAATTCTAAACAGCCTACGCTGAACAAATCAAGTTCTTTCCACAAGGTTTTCATTGACAGTCAATCATTATGTCATAAAATAGAAGTTTCTCCATAATATAAATTACAAATGGAAGAGTTATTCTGTAATATTATTTCCATTGTAGTATTTTTTCCTAACAGAATAAAGCTGTTAGAATATTTGTTCCAATAGGAACAGATAATATGGTGTTGTTTATAATAAAGTTTCCAGTTGATCTTCTGTTTGGCGGAACAAATTTAAGTTACAGTAATATGAATTTTCTCCCCTTTAGAAATATTCCAAAATAAGTCATGGGTACTACTTGTACAAGTAATTTTTATTTACTTGAAGATGTAAACATTAATCTACTTAAATAAGTAAATTTGTAAGATACTTATACAAGTGTATTTTATTTACTTGTATAGGTAAATTATTTCATTGGCTTAGTTAAGTCCCTTAGACATTCAAATTTTTTTACTTATATACAAGTAAAAAAGTCATACTATGTTCTTTTCTTGAATTTTTCAGGACTTCTTTGCTCTAATAGAATTTTTAATTGTCTGTCCTTTGCAGATGTCTTTACTAATCATTTAAGTGTAATTTCATGGACAATGAAAATCTCATTTGTCTGTTATCTTCAGAACACTGCTCATTTACAAGCCCCCAAGGGGCAATTTTTGAAGGCTTTGCGCAATTAGTTTCTTTGTTGAATTAATGAGATGAAACATTGAACTCTAATCAAATATTATGAGCTAACATGAGAAAAATTGTTAAAGGCATGTTTTTACATCTCAAAACTTAAGGATTTTGGGGATTGTAAAAAAAATTACTTATACAAGTAAATTTTTGAGAAAATTAAGGGGAGATTATTCAAACATTATAAGAAAAAATGAACATAACAAAATTTACTTATATAAGTATATTATTATTTACTTCTTCAAGTAAATAAAGATTACTTGTACAAGAAGTAACCCTGACTGAAAATGAAGACCATGTGGATAATTTAAAAATTGACTATTAGCATGATTAGTATTATTTACACTTGTCTGACTGCTGTTTAAGACTGTATGTTGACTTCTTGTAGGTTTTTTTCTGTGTTCAGTTGATAAAAGTAAATCAAATTATACTTTGGTTTTGTAATAGTCAGTTTGAGTTTTTAAACACTCACGTGAAACAGAAGTAAAAAAACCTGTTGTAAAGAAGCTAAGAAAATATTTTTGAAAATGGTTGACATAAATGTTCCAGGAACTTCAGAGTTATGTCCCTTGCCATAGGTCTACCTCTTTAAAAGAATCACTTTTGAGGCCCCCCGGCAGCTAGGGGAAGGGGCATTAAGTGTTACCCTTGACCATCCCTCCGTCCTTCCGTCAGTCCCAAAAGTATTTTCACATATTATAAGCAAGCTTGAGCAGGGGCATTGGTGTCTTCGGACACATTCTTCTTTTTTTTTATGCCTCACCTAGGGGCATTATGTTTTTAGGTCTGTGCGTCCGTTTATTCATTGGTCCGTTCGTCCGTCTGTCCCGCTTCAGGTTGAAGTTTTTGGTCAAGGTAGTTTTTGATGAAATGGAAGTCCAATCAACTTGAAACTTAGTCCACATGTTTCGTATGATATGATCTTTCTAATTTTAATGCCAAATTAGAGTTTTTATCCCAATTTCACAGTCCACCGAACATAGAAAATGATAGTGCGAGTGGGGCATCTGTGTACTATGGACACATTCTTGTTTAATTCTTTTTCTCAACACTACCTTGACTAACAAGTGTCATACCCCTTTTAAACGCAAGGAGATGATACCAAAGAGATATTCAAACTCATAGACAAGTAAAAAACTGACAACGCCATAGCAAAAAGCAACTCATAGACAAGTTAAAAACTGACAACGCCATAGCAAAAAACAACTCATAGACAAGTTAAAAACTGACAACGCCATAGCAAAAAGCAACTCATAGACAAGTAAAAAACTGACAACGCCATAGCAAAAAACAACTCATAGACAAGTTAAAAACTGACAACGCCATAGCAAAAAACAACTCATAGACAAGTTAAAAACTGACAACGCCATAGCAAAAAGCAACTCATAGACAAGTTAAAAACTGACAATGCCATAGCAAAAAACAAAAAACCTACCAACCACCAGTAGATAAAACCCAACATGAACCCCACCAAAAACCAAGGGTGAATTCAGGTGCTCAGGAAGGGTAACCAGATCTTGTTCCACATGTGGCATCCATCAAACTGACAATGATGCAGTAAAAAATCTGGATGTTTTCTGGGAATGATAATGTTTAAAATTATGTTCATGTTTATATTTATTTGTACATATTATGGTCTATAGTAAATTTCATGTTCATATTTTCTGTAGACTGGTGATGCTGATGTGGTTCCTACATCCAAAGTGATGGAAAAACAAAAAGTTGTCATCGATGAACTGAAACATAAACTGGATCTTAATCTGGAGGGCTTTGACAGTCTCAGGTAAATATGGAGGTGTTATAAACTGAGGTACAATGTAAATCTGTATCACTTCTCTTGGGCCTTTGTGGTCAAGGTGTCACATGTGTCAGTTATCAATCTACATTGATCATTAGCCTGTGCTTGATTAGCCGTGCTTGACTAGCCTGTGCTTTACTATCTTGTGCTTGACTAGTTTGTGCTTGATTAGCCTATGTTTGATTAGCCTGTGCTTGACTAGTTTGTGCTTGATTAGCCTGTGTTATACTAGCCTGTGCTTTACTATCTTGTGCTTGACTAGTTTGTGCTTGATTAGCCTGTGTTTGACTAGCCTGTGCTTGACTATCTTGTGCTTGATTAGTTTGTGCTTGATTGGCTTGTGCTTGACTAACCTGTGCTTGATTAGCTTGTGCTTGACTAGCTTCTGATTGACAAGCTTGTGCTTAACTAGCCTGTGCTTGACTAGCATGTGGTTGACTAGCTTGTGCTGGACTATCCTTTGCTTGACTAGCATGTGGTTGACTACCCTGTGCTTGACTTGCCTGTGCTTGACTAGCTTGTGCGTGACTAGCTTGTGCTCGACTAGCCTGTGCTTGACTAGCCTGTGCTTGACTAGCCTATGTTTGACTATCTTGTGCTTTACTAGCTTGTGCTTGACTAGCCTGTTCTTGACAGCCTGTGCTTGACTCCAATCTTATTTGACAAGGTCGGTGATTCTATCACGGTACTCTAGTTTCCTCAACAAATAAAAAAATTGGTCACCATTAGATAGCAAAGGATGATGAAAGTGGTGTTAAATACCAATAAAAAATAATGTAAAATTTTCACAACAGTAAAAAGACTACATCATTTCTAAAGATTATTAATGTTTCAAAGATTTCATTATCTTGGGCATTTGTATGAATAAACTACTGGCATCAGTAAAGGAATGGCTAAAAAGAAACTAACATATCCAAACAACAGCATAACACAACTCTTACCTGCATGAACTAAAATTACACCAAAACCAACTAAAAATTCCAAACAACAACACACCACAACAAGTGAAAATGAAAACAAATAAAATCAATGACAGACTAAAACAATTTAGTCCATAACAAGTTGATTAAAATTAAAACTTGACAACTCAAATTAAAAAAAAAATGGATTAACTTTATTCATCAGTGTTTTCTAGAAAAGTTTTTTAAGAATGAAGTTATTATAATAAAAAATATAAAACAGTAAATTCAGAAATTATTACAAGGTTTAATCAATGATAATAAAAAAAAGCGTGTAAGTATTGCAATAATAAGAATTTGCAATCTTATATCAGATAAATATTCACGAAGAAAACTCAATAATTAATCGAGAATTTGGAACGGTAATGTCAAAACCTCAAAAATAAATTCTCGCAATAAAATTTGAATTTACAGTAATAATTATCAACAGAATGATTATTAATTATGACAATAAAATCCTATAAATGACATTGTATTTTACAGCACAGATCAGTTGAAACAGATTGTTGATCATGCTGTTGGAGAGGTAATTGTTTTGTGCCTTCTTTTTTAATATGCCCTGTTATATTTGTAGATAATGATATTGGTCTGTTTTTGCTACATAATAATGGCTTACGTTTCTTTACTTTGACTGATATTTGGGGGAATACATGCCTATGGACTTTTCTTGATATTTTTTTTTTTTGAAATGCTTGCAGCTGTAAAAATTGATAATTTTTAACCGGATTTCCGAAGGAAAAATCAGTTATTGATTTGGGGATGTACGGCAGGCGGCTAACAAACAGTGTATGTGCATTTACTCATGAACCGTTCAACTAAAGCTTTTCAAATTTTAATATGTTGTTACTGATGACAAAATGGAGGTCATGTTGGATATTGACAATTTTCACTTTCACTGTTCAGGTTTCCAGTTGTGTCCGTGCTTTAACTCATGAACTGTTCTACCAAAGCTTTTCAAATTTTAATATGTTAACGTTGTTACTGATGACAAAATGGAGGTCAAGTTCGATATTGACGATTTTCACTTTCACCCTTCAGGAGTTATGGTTCTTGAAAGATTGAAAAATGGTGTTTCCAGTCGAGTCCATGCTTTAACTCACAAACCTTTCTACCAAAGCTTTTCAAATTTATATATGTTGTTACTGATAACTAAATGGAGGTCAAGTTCAATATTGATGATTGTCACTTTTACTGTTCAGGAGTTGTGATATTGAAAAATGCCAGGACAGAAATAAATGTTAAAAAATCAGGTTTGCTGTCACTCTGACAGCCTCTTGTTCAGATTTGTGTGAATGATGATGACTTACAGTTGAGTTTAAAAATTTGAATTTCAGTTTTTTTGGCAGGATTACAGCCCTTGGACTTGAAAATTAACTTGTCAAAAACATGTCAAGAAAATTATACTTGTCAGAACTTTTTTTTAACATTCAAGATTTTGAAATGGTTTTTGGTACATTAGAGAATAAGGCAACAAAGTAAATTTCTGTTTCATGCATGACACGGGTTATGTTCTTCTCATATGTTATGATGGTATGATACTAAACCCCTTACGGGAAGGATTGTGCCTGATATTCATATGATGAAGACATAATCTTTCAATCAGTTTAATTGAAGTCTGGAGCTGGCATGTCAGTTAACTGCTAGTAGTCTGTTGTTATTTATGTATTATTGTCATTTTGTTTATTTTCTTTGGTTACATCTTCTGACATCAGACTCGGACTTCTCTTGAACTGAATTTTAATGTGCGTATTGTTATGCGTTTACTTTTCTACATTGGCTAGAGGTATAGGGGGAGGGTTGAGATCTCATAAACATGTTTAACCCCGCCGCATTTTTGCGCCTGTCCCAAGTCAGGAGCCTCTAGCCTTTGTCAGTCTTGTATTATTTTTAATTTTAGTTTCTTGTGTACAATTTGGAGTTTAGTATGGCGTTCATTATCACTGAACTAGTATATATATTTGTTTAGGGGCCAGCTGAAGGACGCCTCCGGGTGCGGGAATTTCTCGCTGCATTGAAGACCTGTTGGTGACCTTCTGCTGTTGTCTGTTCTATGGTCGGGTTGTTGTCTCTTTGACACATTCCCCATTTCCATTCTCAATTTTAATTTTATCTTAATTTTGGAATCTAACCCTAAAAAGATTTCATGCCTTTTCAAATAACAATGTGTCATTTGAGTATGGCTGGATTATTCAAAGTCAAATGGGCAGCTGATATTTTTTTTGTTTATTGTTAGTTATTGATGATCCTTGTCCCAAAGTTACTTTAATACATGGAAAAATCATAGTAAATTTTATTTACATGTAGTAATTTTATGACTTTTCTTTCTTTTACAGATAGTTAACCCAGGCAAGGTTAAAGAAAAGCTGATTCAGCAGTTATCAACACAGATAACTGATTTAGAAAGATTTATACAGTTCTTACAAGGTGATGGACTGGGTCAAAACTTCTTTTGCTTGTGGCACTGGTTAATTTTTTTTTTGTGCTGTACTTTCAATGTGGACATGATTTTGAATAGTGCTAAATTTTTTAATCACAAAATTATTTTCTATTTAATTAACATAAGAATGGGGAACAACAAACCGAAAAATGAAGTTTTCTGACTGCTAAATTTTTAATCTAATAATTTCCTTAATTGCGTAGAATAACCTTGTTTTTAGCACTAAAGGATGTACTTAAGTGAAATTTAAAAAATCTAGAATTTAAAATTGATACTATAAGTCAGAAGAGCATTAGTTAAGGAACATAATAAGCTAAAAGTATTGATAGGTTATGGAGCTCCTTTTCGAGATATCTTATATTTTTTTAATGACGGGAAAAGGCTGACTCAGACTTTTACCTTATATTTGCATTGGTATTATTTGGATCTCAAATCGAAAGAAAAGAAATCTAGAATCTGCTTAAATTTTGGTAAATGACCTTTTATGAGCTGTTGAAGTCTTATATGAAAAGAAAAATGGATGTTACATGTGTTAGGGGGCAAAATATTTTACCCTGTATGGTAGGAAAAAACCCAAGGAGTTCGAACATATGACAAAAATTCCTAGGTACATCCTTAAGCTACATATTAATGGGGTTACAAAAACTAACTCAACTCTTTCATTATAACTTAATTTTAAAATTATTTTTTTTTAATAAATTTATTAATATGATTACTATCAATCGTAGATCTTTGGCAATTTTTATGAAATTTTGACCTGGTAATGCTTTTAATTCTATAGTTGAGGGATTTTCCTTCCCTACTTAGAAATAACATAGTTGCTTTTTTCTGTATTATTTTATCATATTTTTCCTACTTTTATCACACTAACAATTGCACGACCCGTTGAAAAATTTATGCATGGATTTAATATTAATTTCCTTAGGTTACTGTATGTGAAATTTATAAGAAGTAACTCAAATGATTTTCTGAAAGAATTACCTGTTTTGTTATATTAAGAAAATTTGGAGGGGAATCATCTTTTGATTGCCTTAAAGTACAAGTCCTTAAAGAAAATATTTTTTCATTGCCATCCCTTAGCATTCGTTGTCAGTCTCAGTCTGTTGTTCTCTTGTTAACTTAGACAAAAATCTTCTCTCAAACTATTTAGCCAGTTAAAACCAAACCAAACTTGGTAACAATCATCCTTGAGGTATCTAGTTTAAAAATGTGTCCAACTATTCCACCTGGCAACCAACATGTCTCTGAATGCTAAAAATAGAATATAAGGCTGAAATATGACTAATTGCTAAAATCTTGAAAAGTTGTAGAAAGGTGAGAGAAAATCTGGCAGAATGAGAAATGTTTAGAATGTCATGATCTGCTTACAATCCATTATTACGAAAAATCATTAAGCTATTTCTTATAGGAGTTATTGCCCTAAAATGAAGATTCTTACCCATTTTTCACAATTTTTGCTATTGTCTAGAAAACTATTTTAGATTTATAAAGAGAAACTGTATGCAGCAAAAATGATCATACACCTGACAAGAACTACATATAAGTTCACATGGTAAAAACCATCAGTCAACTCCTAATAGGAGTTATTGCCCTTTAATGACAGGTCATTCCCATTATAAGTTTTTTGCAGAAACTCTAGTAGACAGAGAGAAACTGTAGATAGCAAAATAATAAGCAAAATAGGATCTAAAAATAGATTAAATGACGGAAACCCCTCCCTATGCGTTTACATCTGGAACAGCTCTGATTTTTGCCAACTGTCCACGGTAAGAGTCATTCTTTATCGTTTCCATTGGCAACCTTTTACAGTTTACATCGTCATGCCATCAATTTTTTTCATAGAGATGCAGCTCATGCAAAACTTACAATATTTTTACAAATTCTGCGAATAAATTTGAGTGATGAAAGCAGCTGCATGTCCATAGAGGACAGGTGGACATGTCAAAATCTGCGTGTCCACGATGGACAGGTGGAAATTTCAAAATCCATGAGCTGTTGTGTACCTTCAATTGGAACATATCTGATGACAATTATAATTTCAGACATTTTAATATGAAATTAACTCTGTTTTGATTTAATTTTATATTCTTTTATAACATTTTTAATGCTTCATCCAAAACCTGCTTTTATCTCATACTAAGTGTGCTGTTTTTCACTTTTAAGTATAGCAAAACTAATAAAATATATATAACAATAGATAGATCTAATGAAGACCATCAAATATATGATATTTTTATGCCCCATTTATGGGCATTATGTTTTTCGGTCTGGTCGTCCATCCGTTTGTCCGTACTGCTTCAGGTTAAAGTTTTTGGTCAAGATAGATTTTGATGAAGTTTAAGTCCAATCAACTTGAAACTTAGTACACATGTTCAGTTCCCTATGATATGATCTTTCTTATTTGAATGCCAAATAAGAGTTTTGACCCCGATTTCAGGGTCCACTGAACATCGAAAATGATAGTACGGGTGGGGCATCCGTGTTCTATGGACACATTCTTATTCAACTATGGATTGTTCCTGAATTGATTGCATGGGTGGTTGGAAGGTACTTCTATTAAATTTCGATGAGTTTTGATTATTTTAATCAAATTTATTAATTTGATTTTATACATATGCAGGTGGTTGGGGCTTTCTTAAACTTGCAGTGAGGTGAGAGTTTTTTTTTTTTTTGCTCTGTGTTGAAGGCTTCATTGTGACTTTGAGGTGACTTTTGAGCACTGTTCCTTTGCTTTATGTGTGTTTTTTGCTGTGTATGTTTTGATTTGGTGTCATGGCTGGATACCCAATATCCTTTGTTTTTCTATTATAGCAGGGTAAAATGAAAAATGCTTCCCATCCCCCACCCCTATATTTATTTCTGGAACAATACTTATAAAATGAATGAGCCAAATCAAATTAAGGATACTCTAAGTATGATATTATCAAGAATTTATTCGTTTCGGTAAAATTATCTGCTGAATATCACTTGTATATGACATTAAATTGTAAATCAAATATTTTAAGTATTGAATGTTTTCATATTATGCATACCTCAGACTGCATGTCCATGTTGTCTATACTTTTGGTCCTTTTTGGTTTTATCTGGTTTCCAACTTATGTATGAGGTTTTGGATTTTCAAATATTGCTAGAGGCCTCAGTGGCTGAGGGGTAAGTAGTTTAACTACTGTATCACTAGCCTGCCATCAGTGAGGTTGTGACTTCGAACCCTCCACATGGCAGGCATGATTTCCTGCCAAATAATAAGAGTGAAACTATTATCATTTTTACAGGTACTATAAATTAAATGTACGATAGTTTTAAGTCATTTGATTCATTTGTAATTTATTATTACCTTGAAATTTTCGGATTTTATTTCTTCTTTAAAATCGAAAATAGTGTAGCACTGGGAATTTCTTAAGAAATATACATTTTTAAGTCATTAAAATCACTTCAATTTTAAACTATTGCATTCCATAAATCTTTCTTGACTGTTTTTAGAAAAAAAATGGTTAGAAATTTCATGCAGTAAATGTGATAAAACTGTCAGTACAAGTTCGTTGATGCTGTGAATCTAGTATGAATAATTTCAACAGTTTGTGAAAAGGACCCCAACTCTTCTTAGAATGACCAAAATTGTATGAAAAAATTCAAGATCCTTGCAGACACTACTTTGAAATGTATTCATAAGCTATAAAGTTGGTATGAGTAATGTTGTGCACAAGGTCAGGGTTTGGAATTCACAACCTCAAGTGTTGACTGGCTAGTGATGCAATAGATAAAGTACTTAGACCCCTCGTCCAACAAGGTCCCTTATTTATTTGAAGTGCATCCTGCATATTATATGATCATTTCTAAAACAGTCCTTTCTGTCTTTAGTGTATTTCATTTTTGCATAACATTAAATGTCTTTTTCAGGGGAGGCAACAAGTCCTGGACCTTTAGGAAAAGAAAGATGCACATGTACAGTTCATAAGGTAACTTCAGAATTAAATGTGTCAGTAATTTTTGTTCCCAGCGCAACGCTATGCGACACAATTTTTTTTGCTGAGTAATTTATTTTAAAAGAGTTATGCCTTTTGGAAATATACATTATATGAAAATTTGCATTGTTAGCACGTGTACAATGATGTCTCAGACGAGTTAGAAAAATCAGTGCTGATCAATTTATTTAAAAAGAGTTATTCCCCTTGGAAACATTAATTGTATAAGAAATTGCATTGGATTTGCTCTCAAGCCTTCATTTTTCCAAGATATTTATATAAAAAAAAGATTTTATTAAAGTTATTGCCCTTGTACTTCTATTAAAATTCCAGATGTGTAACTGTAATGTAAGTTTTAAAGAAAAAGAAGAAAAACAATGATTTTGGGCATAAACAAATTATGCTAAGCTTTAGAAAAGGCCAAAAAGGATATTATATATTAAGAAAAAGTTTGATAATAGGAGAAGCAAAGGTTGTTACAAACTATTTATAAATTTTATTATTCTTGTATTTTCTTTAGTTTCCTTCCAGTGATTGTTCAGATACCTCTTCAAAAGATTGTAAAGTACGAGACCGAAATACCAACAAGCACAATAAAAAGGTAAATGTACAATAAATCAGGAGACTATAGATTCATAGGTTGCCTTAGCTGTATTTGGCACAAGTTTTCATAACTTTTGGTGTTTAACACTCTTTAAATTCTTCATTTTGTATTTCATTTACCTTCTAACTATTTTGATAAATCTTTCTTTGTACAGTTGATACTCATTTCATAAAGTACATTTCTCTAATTATTAACAGATTTAATCTTTTCCTGACCTGTTGATTATGTTTTTTGATAAACATGTGGTCTGTTTGATCTAAGTTCTTCAATGGTCAAAATTCAATTATGTTGCAACATTTTCTTGCTTTCCCTCTGCATTTCCTGTTGTGAGGCCACAAAAAAATTCTACCATGCTTGATGATCTCACATAGAAAAAAAAACATCTTTTTGCAGACCATTGGAAAAGAAGTTTTAAGTTTATGTGCATATTGTCAATAAATCATTAGAGAAACTGATTTCACAACCAAATCTTTTCACATGTGTAATACTATATTTTCCACTCTACAGTTTAACTTTAAGTATTTAAAAGCTTGACAAGCCTCACATTTAAAATTTGAAAATTTAACTGTCTTCATTGAAGAAATGTCGTATCACGCTTGATGTAGTGGTAGAATCTATATTTATACATATGCAGCTCTTTTATTACATCTGATTTCTACAGAATGTGAAAGAAACAAGAGCATTTATAAAGAAAAGTATTGAGTTACTACAGATGTTCCTCATCAGTCAGTTTGGTTGTGGTGGGAGGGATTTCCAGAGAAACCTACTGAAGAAAACCACAAAAGGCAATCATTGGGGGTAGGTATCATAAAAATATATACACAAAAATCCACTCAAAATCACATATTCATTGTCCAGCTGGTTTCACTGCTTTACACAGATAAACATGTTTCAAATGAAAATGAAATTCACTACATTGTCAACAGTCACATAACATCATAGTTATGAAGAAATATTCTAAAGGCTTTGTTTATAGTGACAAAAATTAAATGTTGCTGAAATGTTAGAGAGACAAGTTTACAGTCGTTTCATGCAAGGCTTGACCTCTTTCTCTTTGTTTTGACTTTTTGGCTCCGTGTAAGTGTATTATTAATTGAATATAAAAAAGAAGATGTGGTGTGATTGCCAATGAGACAACTCATCACAAGAGACCAAATGACACAGAAATTAACAACTATAGGTCACTGTACGGCCTTCAACAATGAGTAAATCCCATACACATGTGTTCATTTAGCAGTATTTACCTGTAGAAGGATCTCTAATATGTAGATATATACATTTTTATTATTACTCATTAGGCTGTTATAGATGAAAAATTCATAGATTATGACTTACAAAATTGTTTGGAAGTTTTGCAACCTCCTTGAGTAAGAGCTAATATTAGTTTGAAAATGAAAAAAAATGTTAGAAAAATATTTATGAGTAAACTTGTAACAAAGTGACAAGTCAATAACGCTTTATCAAGCATTATCAAAAAAAAAATACAGAATAGAGAAATAGAGACTTGATTTTAGCTTGATGTTTATATTTGTAGCGACTTACGAGCTAGGTTAGAGGTTGCTATAAACAAAGTATTAGAGGCAGCGGTAGAGGAGGAAAAAAATCAGGAAAAAGACGACAGGTTCAGTGAATATGGCAGTGATTCAGAGGAGGTAAAAATATAAATAAAATGGGCCGTAGGGTGACATATAATTGCTTATATCAGGCCATAGAGTGACCTATAATTCCTTACATCCACATCATTTGAACTCAGGTGGATAGTTGTCTCATTGGCAATCATACCACATCTCCTTTTTATATGACTTCAAAATTTTTACGGCCGTATAATAGTATTGCAATGTCGTTGGCATCATCATCTTCGTTGTTCATTTGGTTTCTGGACAATAACAAGTATAAGTGTATGGAACCCTCTGAAATTGTACTACAAGGTTCCATACCACAAAGGAAGGTTGGGATTTGGGGAGTTATTTTATATTAGTGTATGTTTTATTTAGATAAATTCTTTCACAAGTATAATTGGATTATTCCTCACTCTTGGAAGGGGCCGTAACCAGTCACTTTTTAGCTCACCTGACCTGAAAGGTCAAGTGAGCTTTTCTCATCACTTTGCGTCCGTCGTCCGTCGTCCTGCGTCCGTCGTCTGTCGTCCGTAAACTTTTACAAAAATCTTCTCCTCTGAAACTACTGGGCCAAATTTGACCAAACTTGGCCACAATCATCATTGGGGTATCTAGTTTAAAAATGTGTCCAGTGACCCGGCCAACCAACCAAGATGGCCGCAATGGCTAAAAATAGAACATAGGGGTAAAATGTAGATTTTGGCTTATATCTCTGAAACCAAAGCATTTAGAGCAAATCTGACATGGGGTAAAATTGTTTATTAGGTCAAGATCTATCTGCCCTGAAATGAATCGGACAACCTGTTGTTGGGTTGCTGCTCCTGAATTGGTAATTTTAAGGAAATTTTGCCGTTTTTGGTTATCATCTTGAATATTATTATAGATAGAGATAAACTGTAAACAGCAATAATGTTCAGCAAAGTAAGATCTACAAATACAAATAAGTCAACTTGACCAAAATGGTCAGTTGACCCCTTAAGGAGTTATTGCCCTTTATAGTCAATTTTTAACCATTTTTCGTAAATTTTTGTAATCTTTTACAAAAATCTTCTCCTCTGAAACTACTAAGACAAATTTAACCAAACTTGTCCACAATCATCATTAGGGTATCTTGTTTAAAAAATGTGTCCGATGACCCCGCCCGTGAACCAAGATGGCTGACATGGCTAAAAAATAGTACATAGGGTAAAATGCAGTTTTTGGCTCATATCTCTGAAACCAAAGCATTTAGAGCAAATCTGTTGAGTATAAAATTGTTCATTAGGTCAAGATCTATCTGCCCTGAAATTTTCTTACCAATCAGGCAACCCGTTGTTGGGTTGCTGCCCCTGAATTGGTAATTTTAAGGAAATTTTGCCGTTTTTGGTTATTATCTTGAATATTATTATAGATAGAGATAAACTGTAAACAGCAATAATGTTCAGCAAAGTAAGATCTACAAATAAGTCAAACTTGACCAAAATTGTCAGTTGACCCCTTAAGGAGTTATTGCACTTTATAGTCAATTTTTAACAATTTTTCGTAAATTTTTGTAATTTTTTACAAAAATCTTCTCCTCTGAAACTACTAAGACAAATTTAACCAAACTTGTCCACAATCATCATTAGGGTATCTAGTTTAAAAAATGTGTCCGATGACCCCGCCCGCGAACCAAGATGGCCGACATGGCTAAAAAATAGTACATAGGGTAAAATGCAGTTTTTGGCTCATATCTCTGAAACCAAAGCATTTAGAGCAAATCTGACATGGGGGTAAAATTGTTCATTAGGTCAAGATCTATCTGCCCTGAAATTTTCAGACCAATCAGGCAACACATTGTTGGGTTGCTGCCCCTGAATTGGTAATTTTAAGAAAATTTTGCAGCTTTTGGTTATTATCTTGAATATTATTATAGATAGAGATAAACTGTAAACAGCAATAATGTACAGCAAAGTTAGATCTACAAATAAGGCAACATGACCAAAATTGTCAATTGACCCCTTAAGGAGTTATTGCCCTTTATAGTCAATTTTTTACAATTTTCATAAATTTTGTAAATTTTTGTAAATTTTTACAAAGTATTTTCCACTGTATCTACCGGGCCAAGTTCATTATAGATAGAGATAATAGTAAGGAGCAAGAATGTTCAGTAAAGTAAGATCCACAAACACATCACCATCACCAAAACACATCACCATCACCAAAACACAATTTTGTCATGAATCCATCTGTGTCCTTTGTTTAATATGCACATAGACCAAGGTGAGCGACACAGGCTCTTTAGAGCCTCTAGTTCTGTTTTGTTATTACTATATTTTTTAAAAAAGCATGTGTGAAATGTAATAGAAATATATATAAAGATAATAAAAAAGTAGGAAAAGACAAACAAATAAAACAAACGTTTTTTAAAACTGTGAAATGTGAAATAAATTTTTATCCCCTTTCCTCTACAGCTTAATGTGAAAAATCTATTTGCAGAAATAATTGATTGTAAATGCTTCACATACACTGCACAAGAAATTTAAATGAATAATGAATACAAAATTTGAACAAAAAATCTATCTTTGAAGCAAATTGTGAAATGTTAACCAGTATACATTAGGATTTTTTCCAGAATTAATTTTATGGGGTGGGGGTAGGGGTCAGAAGGTATTTTATTAAAATTTGATGGGTGGTTGTTATTTTAGACTGATAGCCTTGACAATTATATGAAATAATCTGTTAAAATGTTATGCATGGCAAGTTTAAATATAAAGTGCCTACCGACCCCTCATTCATTTATTTCTGGAATAGCTCGTATATAAGTTAGTTTATTTATCATGTTTATTGTACAGAGTCAAGAACAAAGCAGTGCTTTGCTTACACAGACGGTGAGAAAAGATCTTTCCATGGCCATTAGAGATTTGATGGAACATGGACTTATGGAGGTATGTCACAGGCCATTCTTAATAAGGGTAAAATTTAAAATTGAGAATGGAAATGAGGAATGTGTCAAATAGACAATTATTGTTCATTAACTTTAATATTTATTCATTTATTTTTTATCAAGTAATTGTTTATTTTATTTTATTCTTGTTTTACAATATTTATGTTATATTTTTTTTGTCTCTCAAAATCATGTTAATTGCCACAAGGTAAAAATGAATTATATAAATTCCCAAAAGAGTGTAGTCCAGGACTTACCGTGTGATACCCTCATTTGTAGTAGAGGTCGTTCCAACACCCCCTAGTAGTAGTAAGTATGTCTGAAAAAAAGTTGGTTTTGTTACAGTATTAGCCTGATGATTATCAACTGATCTTGACCTCACAGAATGTCAACAAAAATTGCATTGATGATATATTTCTTTATCAACACATCTATTTACTTTTCAAACAATTGTTTTGTAGATAGGACAGAGTACAAGTGTAGTACCATGGGGATGTTTTCCATCGAGGTCAGCACAACTAACCAGACAAATGCATGCTTGGGATTTGTTGATAAAATTTTATGAAATGAAGGTAAATGTCTTTTTTCTGATTACATATGAAAGAAAAACTGGCTTGTACAGCTATATATATAGATGTTGAATTGATAGAATTTGTGTCAAGGGCTTGCAGGCACTAATTTTTTAGCTCACTGGGGCCCAAAGGGCCCCATGTGAGCTTATGCCATCACTTGGCGTCCGTCGTCTGTCGTCGATGTCTGTCGTCGATGTCTGTCATCGTCGTCTGGCATCGTCGTCTGTCCTCGTAAACTATTTAAAAAAATCTTCTCTTCTGAAACTACTGGGCCAAATACCTTCAAACTTTAATTAAATGTTCCTTAGGGTATCTAGTTTATAAATTGTATCCGAAGTTTTGATCCATCGACAAATATGGCGGCCATGGCTAAAAATAGAACATAGGGGTCAAATGCAGTTTTTGGCTTATATCTCAAAAACTAAAGCTTTTAGAGCAAATCTGACATGGGTGAAATTGGTCAATTGGTCAAGATCTATCAGCTCTGAAATTTTCAGACGAATCGAACAACCCATTATTGGGTTGCTGCCACCGAATTGGTAGTTTTAACAAAATTTTGCAGTTTTTTTGTTATTATTTTGAATATTATTATAGATATATATAAACTGTAAGCAGCAATAATGTTCAGCAAAGTAAGATCTACAAAAAAGTTAATATGACCAAAATTGTCAATTGACCCCTTAAGGAGTTATTGCCCTTTAAAGACAATTTTACACAATTTGTTCATCAAGTTTGCTAAAATTTGAAAATCTTCTCCTCTGAAATACAGGTGAGCGATTCAGGCTCTTGAGAGCCTCTTGTTTTTTTTTTACCTTAACCAGATTTGACACTTTTCTATCAAGTTTTCAATGCTCATCATCTTCGTTATCTATTGAACCTTTATTTAAATCAAGTTCATATGATGAGTGCTATGCAGATATACCGTAATCGGGCTTGTATAGTTCGCACTGGTACATTTTCTGCACCCCCTTCTGGCCACGAAATTTCAGGTAAAAAACTATGTAACTGTTAGAAAATGTCTAATGAAACTCCGGTAATTTCAAATTGTGTGTGGTAGATTGCGGTATTTTCATGGAAAAACCTGTTTTCCATCATCAAAAAGGAGTTGAAACTGCTTGTAAATGATTCTAGAACACTTCACGAGTGTTAAAATATGTCAAAATCACACAAAACACAATTTAGAAACTTGTGTATGATTAAACCAGAAGTTTGAATAGCACGTGTAAAAGAAAATAAATACGGTGAGAGTGTACAGAAAATCTGTACTTATCACTATAATACGACTTTGAAAGTAAAACAGTTGCATCCTTGTATAAAACAATGTTTAATATATCAATCACTAATGTTTGAAGGATCTAAAGCTAAAACAAAACACATGTGTCAGTATGAAACACCAAAACGGAATGAATAACCGATTACCAGTCAAGGATATAACTATATAGGGTTATTAGAGAAAAATAACATACATTTGTTATTGTGGACTAAAAAATCAAAGACCTGTGATAACATATGTATGTTACATGTTTCAAAGGGACAATATACATCATTAGTTTTGTTAAAATGTATACAAGTTTTATTGATATTTCTGTCGTCTTTATGTATACTTAACTATAGAAAGATATAGCAGTTCATATTATTACAGAAAAAATATGCCTGTAATAACTAAAGGGTGTTATTACAGCTTCTCTTTATCACTCCAAAGCATTTGCTCAGACATACATCATGTTCAATTACAATATATTTTAATTCATTGTAAGAAATAATGATCAGAGCATGTAATGAGGTTCTGCGCAAGCTTCCCAGTAATTCCCAAGTGCCTCATATAATAAGTTACATGCCTTTAATAACTAAGCCTTGTTATTACAGCTAAGATTATCACTTAAAAGCCTCGTCTCATTGATTTACCATGGTTAATGATAAATGTATTAATTTAATTCAAAAATTAGTTATCAAGGCTATGCATTTAGTTTCTGCTCAAAGTTTCAAGAGTTCCCTAGAGTCCACTAAAAATTAAAATGTTGATGATTTATTTTACAAATAACAAACATATGTTATTACAGATTTAGAAAATTTAAGGATTAAAGAGTAGACAACTCATAAAAATATCTGTAATAACACATGTAAGATATTTTCTGTAATAACCCTATAGAGTTATATCCCTGACTGATTACGTTTTGTAGTTTATACATTGTAAGCTGGTTCTCGGTTGCCTTTTGTATTTTTTTCGTTCCGATAAATTCAAGCAGATTCCAGTTTATTTTAAGCAATGCAGCGAAAAGAAATTTGTAGTGAAGCATTTGATTTTTAATTTTGTCAGTAAATATGTGATATTGAATAAAAATAGCATATTAATTATGGATGAGGTAAAATTATTAGTTTTGAAAATGATAAAAGCACCCTCTACAATATCAATAACAAACATGGCGGAACGTAAACAAACCACGTCGAGAAATCGAATTTTTTTTCTCTTATTTCTCTTATGGTACTCCATAGTCCGCACACCTGTCTGGCAAGTTCAATTTTGGAGAATAAAACCGCGGACTATACAAGCCTTTATTCGGTAAATCGTATGGATGTGTTGATCTGTTTTTAAGGTGGTACAGAACACCGTGACTAGAATAATTTGGCTTGTTCAATTTTAAAAAATTTCGACAAAATATTTACTTTGATCCTTTGACAAAAATATAAAAATTTCAAAAAACTTGAACCACACTATCGGAAAAATTTATTGGATACATAGCAGTTTGACAAACACTAATTTTGATCATTGAGAAGCCTAATTTTTCCTTAACAATAGAATGTGATTAAAACTTTCAGCTGATTTTTACAGAGTTATCTCCCTGTAGTGCTATATGTACCACCTTAAGTTGTCTGCAGTTTATTGACTTGATGTGAGGTATACATCAATGAGCTTGTAACCAAAGGACATGTAGACGCTGAAAGAGTATGCTAAGCACTAAACTGCCCCAGTTGCCTTTTGTTTTTATGCCCCACTTAGTGGCATTTTGTTTTTCGGTCTGTGCATCCGTTCGTCCGTCTGTTCATCTGTTCGTCATTCCGTCTGTCTGTCCCGCTTCAGGTTAAAGTTTATGGTCAAGGTAGTTTTTGATGAAGTTGAAGTCCAATCAACTTGAAACTTAGTACACATGTTCCCTATGATATGATATTTCTAATTTTAATGCCAAATTAGAGTTTTTACCCCAATTTCACGGTCCACTGAATAGAAAAGGATCGTGCGAGTGGGACACATTCTTGTTATATATGTTTCTTTGTTTTACTTGTCATTTGGGGAATATTGTGTTAATGACAGAACTTTCAAAGTCTTTTCCCAGTTTATTAACAAGTTATTTTTTTTAATTTAGGCTGTTTTAAATTGTCATATAAGATAATATACTCCAGATATCCTATTATATATACTGAAAACCTTCTCACAGATACTATTATATCGCATTTTAGCCCTTTCAAGATTACGCAGCGATTAATTTTTTTAAAATTTTCATATATTTATATAAGGGAAGTCAAAGTTTTACATATTAGTGACGTTATTTTCTTGGCAAAGTCAGGAAAATCAGCTAGTTTACAGTACTTCCAAATAAATCTCCCTTTAATTATGTTCTGTTTGGGCCAAACAAAAAAGTATATGCATTTACTGTTACATGCTGAAAAAAATAGGGTAGGTAGGTAGGGAATTTTTTTATTATTTTTAATATTTTTTTTACATTGAGTCTATGAGAGCAACATTGTGACTTTAACAGTGCTTAATCAATAAGGTGACCTATAGTTGTTTATTTCTGTGTCATTTGGTCTCTTGTGATGAGTTGTCTGATTGGCAATCACACCACATCTTCTTTTTTATATTAATAAAAAATTGTCAAAAATTTTTAGGGTAGGGGATAAAAATTAGGGTAGGTAGGGGTACAGTAAACACACATACTTTTTTGTTTGGCCTTGTACTTAGATTATAACATAGATAAACATATTTTTATTTCAGCATGGTAAAGAATACAATGAATCCCCGGCCAGAATGTTGTCTCAGTCATTCCACTTGGACATCGTTGGAGGAAAAGCCATTACTGCCAAACAGACATTACTTGGTGCAATAGATACAGTCATCTCATCTCATACTCCACTCAAACGCACAGAAGATTCTCATTTTAAAGCTATTATCTCACTTGCATTAAAGTAAGTCACATAAATGCACAGAAGATTCTCATTGTTTAACTTTTATCCCACTTGCTTTTCATTAGGTCGTACAAACATACAGTAGATTCTCATTTAAAAGCTTGTATCTCACTTGCATTAAAGTAAGTCACATAAACGCACAGAAGATTCTTATTTTACAGATTTGGTCTTGCCTGCATTTAAGTATGTCACATAAGCACACAGAAGATTTTAATTTAAAAGCATTCATCTCACTTGCAGTAAAGTTAGTAACAAAAACCACAAAAGATTCTCATTATAAAGCTTTTGTCTCTCTTGCTTTTAAGTAAGTCCCATACATGCACAGAATATTCTAATTTTAAAGCTTTCATCTCACTTGTATTAAAGTAAGTAACATAAACGCACAGAAGATTCTCATTTTAAAGCTTTCATCATGCTTGCAGTATATTTAATAACAAAAAACACACAGAACATTCTAATTTTAAAGCTTTCATCTCACTTAGCTTGTATTAAAGTGAGTAACATAAACGCACAAATGATTCTCATTTTAAAGTTATTATCTCACTTGGATTAAAAAAAGTCACACAAATGCATGAGAGATTTTCATTTCGAAGTTTGCATCTGACTTGCATTAAAGTAAGTCACATAAACGTACAGATGATTCTTGTTTTAAAGCTTCTATATCACTTGTATTAAAGTAAGTCACATATATGCACAGAACATTCTCATTTTAAAACTTTCATCTCACTTGCATTAAAAGAAGTAAATTAAACCCTAGGAAGATTCTAATTTTAAAGCTGTCATCTCTCTTACATTATATTGACAATATAACAATACTATTTTACAGTGAAAGAAAACTTCCAACGTGGTTAAAGTTATTATTCCGAACACAGAGTTTAATAGACAATTATTACCAAGACTGGAGCTACGTTGCCAGAACAGGTTTGTACATAAGGTTGACTGATGGAGAACATCTTTTAACTCCATTTCTTAAAAAGGTGCTATGTAAAAATTAGAATTTGTCACTTTTGAGGCAGAAGTTAAAATCTAACAAATATTTTACTGAAAATTGAGAAATTTTGAGATGTATTTATTATTGTGAAAATTACAACTGGACAGGGTTTTTCAATAATATAAAATGGGGAAAATTTACTCAGATTATTTGTGTGAAGCATTTCCTGAACTCGTATAATTTAAACTGGCATTTTTTTTTCTCTATTATTCAATAATTCGGAATTTACAGTATTAAAATTTTTGCTCTTTTGTAGTACGTGTACATATTTATATTTCAATAAAAATTTGAATGGTCTATATTTATATTTCAATAAAAATTTGAATGGTCTATATTTATATTTCAATAAAAATTTGAATGCTCAGTATAGACCATTCTCCATTGTTTAAGAAACAATCTGCACAATCTAGCCATTTGAGTCTTTGATCCATTTTTGTATCGCCTTGACGTAGTCGAAAATTGAGACATAGCTATACTGTTTTCGGTGTCAGGGGCGGCGGCAGCATCAACAATGTATTAGTTTGTGATTAGGTCTAGTTTATGGTGAACCATTAGTGGTAGGTCAATGATATTTGGTATACAGTTGTATAAGCATTGGCATATCTCTTTTTCATGGAGATTATTTGGCTCAGCCCCCTCAGTCATGTTCTATTGACTTTAAAACTTTTGCTTAGTTTTCATGTTTTAGTTTGTGATTAGGTCAGTTTAAGGGGAACCGTTAGTGGTAGGTAAATGCTAATTGGTATGCAGTTGTATAAGCATTAGCACATGTCATTTCCATGGAGAATATTTGGTCCTTACTCCTCAGTCACAGTCTATTGACTTTGTTTACATGTATTAGTTTGTGATTAGGTCAGTTTAAGATGAACCACTAATGTCAAGTCATTGATATTTGGTATGCCAATGTATTGGTATTTGCAAGTTTCATTTCAATGGAGATTATATAACCCCACCCCCTCATTATGGTTCATTGATTGTGAAACTTTTACATAATTTACAAGTTAATATTTGTGTTTAGGTTTGTTTAAAGAGAACACCTTATGGAAAGTCAATGGTATTTGGTATGCAGTTGTATTAGCATTGGCACATCTGATTTCCATGGAGATTGTTATGCCCTGTACCTTCAGTCATGGTTCATTGACTTTGAATATTTGCAGAACTTACATGTTAAAGTATTACTCTTTCAATTTCGGGGGGCCTCGGTGGCCGAGTGGTCTAAGTAGTTACTACTGTAATCACTAGCCAGTCAACACTGAGGTTGTGAGTTTGAACCCCACTCGTGCGGGTGCACTCGACTCCAATCTTAATTGACTAGGATTGTCAGTTTTCCTATCAAAGGTCGGTGGTTTTCTCCAGGCACTCCGGCTTCCTCCACCAATAAAAACTGGCCGCCACAAAATAGCCCAAAAGCGGTGCTTAAAAGTGGCGTTAAAACACCAAAAATCAAATACTATTTCAATTTCAACATTTGCATTATCAAAATAACAAATAGGCGAGACATCTCTCTGTGTTAACAGTTTATTGAATTTGGCCATAGTGTTGTCTCCCCTTGATATCTTCACCCTTTTGCTAAATATCCAATTAGGATTGATATTATATTTTCTTTATTGTAGGATTTGATGATGCGATCAAGGCTCTTGACAGATTAAACAATATCAACTTCAAACTCCCGGTAGATTTGGCGGTCAGACCATTTAGTAACATCAAAGATGCTTTCTAATCACAGACATTCTCAAAGAAAAGTAGGGGAAGGCAAAATTTTTAATGGCATTACATAGAAAAAAATAGAGGATTCCAATGATCTGATAAAAATTCAAAAACAAGAGGAGCGAACTTCCTTAAATATTTGTAAAGCCAATAGAAAATATGTGTTGACAGTCATGTGACTAATTCCTAAAGGTGTCGCTTATCCTTAACATTTAAAAAACTATAAATTGAGTTTTCTTTTTTAAAATTCAAACATCAACAATTAACATCTTTTTTGGAGTTCAGAGATAAACAAACAACATCATTTGAACTCTGGTGGATATTTGTATCATTGGCAATCATACCACATATCCTTATTTTTATAATGGAAGCCTTTGGTTACACAATACTTGATAAGAAGACAAAAACAAGCAGGATTATGTTATATTGTATGAATTTTAAATAATCAATGTTTTTTTTTTCAATATTTCAAATGGAATAAAATTGAGAATGAAAATGGGGAATGTGTCAAAGAGACAACAACCCGACCATAGAGCAGACAACATATTTAACCCATGCAAAAGTTGTTGTGTTGACGTCATTTTGAACAATGACTGAAAATGAAAGAAACTAATCAATGTATTAAATTTACAAATGTGACTGTAAACAAACATGTTTATTTTTGGGGTCAAAGGGGAGGTAATAATAAGGCATATGAAATACAAATTTGAAAGACAGTTGCAGTGTCTGAAGATAATCTCTATGATAAGGTTAGATCTTTAAGTATTATTGAAAAATGAAGATGGTTTCTTATTTTTCTTTTTCTGATATAAAATTATGAAAAGAATAGTAGGGGTTAACAGGCAAAATCTTAAATGGCACTACATGGATAAAACCAGAGGAATTCGAATATCTGACAAAAAGTCAAAAACATGATCAGTCAACATCCTTAAGCCAAAATGTATTTTGTTATTTTTCTTCTAAACGGTTGTATGCATTTAAAAATTTCAAAATCCTATATTTGGTATAAATCTTGTACATGTGTATTGTTAGCCACTTACTGAATAACTGAAGGGAGACAATTTCAGGTTTTGTCTGCTTTTCTTAAGACTTTTTGTCATATTTGTTCAGCCTTTGAAATATACTACTTAAATTTGTCATGTACATTGCATATTCCATATTAACTTGTTTTTACTGTAAGTTCCAATATTTTTGCATGAAATGATAAGTTTTTACTGTAAGTTCCCATAATTTTGCATGAAATGACAAGTGGGAAATTTTTGTAACTGCTTTATTTTGGCTAATTTCCTCCATATGATGAACTTGCAAAATCAGAATCACCATTCTGTAAATGAGATCTGTAAGGAAGGTCAAAAACTGAGACCAGAAACCTTGTAATCAGATTCCACCCAGAAATCATGAAATTTAAACTTCACAAACATAAATAGAACTGTAAAAGACATTGAAGAAATTAAAATCATGTGGGGCATGGGCAAATGATGGGAGGCACTTTTTTTAGATCCTCATTACCCATAATATAAAATTTTCATTTTACTTATAATTCATACAAAATTCTAGGAAAATGCAACCCCACAATTAATAAATTTGAATACCTCCTATCTCTCCCACAGGGATCAATTTTGGAACAGCCCAAAGTAAACGTTTTGGGCTCAGTTATATCAAATGAAGAAATGTCAATTTTATTTGTCACAAAATACAAAAAGATTGATAAATTAATACCAGTATTATAATTCAAACTTTATTCACCAAAATTCATCATTCATATTGTAACCTAATTTCATTGTTTCTTTTTATAATTGTTCATGAGATTTTTGATGAAAATTCATTCCAGTGGACTTCTTTCATTCCAGTTGACTTTTTCATTCCAGTAGTTTTCTTTCATTCCAAGAGGATCCATTTGAAAAAATAATTTACACAAGAAATCCATACTTTTACATTTGTATATATGCTATTTTACAATTCACAGGTTGTTGGGGAAACATAGAAAAAGTTGTGACATATTTAATATGATTTTGTATAGTTGTCATCTTTTGTTATTATGTATATATATTATGCATACCCCATTTTTGTTATGTATTATTATACATGTGATTTTGTTTTGTTATGTTTAATAGATTGAAATCCATTTATTATTTTTCTTGATATTATGAAGCTGTTTTTATTAAGTGCAATTGAAGTACTGCTATTTCCTTTGATTGTTCCTCCAAAATGGTGACCAAGGTAAATAACTCAAACTTAAATTATGTCATATCAAAACTTATCAATTGGTCAAGTAGATTTGTCTTTTCTACCTGTCCACAGAGGGCATTCAACTTCTGCCAACTCGAATTAAATTTTTTTTAATATGTCTTAAAAAAATATAATTTTTCAAAAGCTCAACTTTTTTAGTTTTAGTCGCAATCATTTGAATTATAAAGTTTTAAAATGTCTGACATGTTTTAACTATGTCAGACCAATTGTCTGGTTAAGACAAATTTTCAGACTTTGTCAGTCCAAATGTTTGTTAAAACAAATTTTCAGACTATGTTAGTCCAAATATCCTTTTATATAAACTAAGACAAATTTCTTTTTCAAGAACTCTGCAGTAGTTCAATTCTGATGATTAAAGAAAAGAATTGGGATGTCCAATAGAAAAAATAGGCAAAGGGGTCTTTCTAGTAGTTTGGCCCATCTCCGGTCACTCCAACCGTGGACGGGTGGATATGACAAATCATCTTTGAGCTATAGTGTATCTTGGATATGCAATTGAAGGGAATAGCTAGCTAGGCAATATTTATTTACATAAGTTTATTTATATATCTATTTTCTTGTTTATTTTATTCTTTGAATCCATTGATGTGAAATCCAGGTAATATTTTGTTATGTTGTCACTTTATTTACTAAATGGTTTAATGATTTATTCTTTTACATTGCCATGTATTCAAATATACAGGGCACTCTAGATTTTTACAAAAATTTGGTGGACATTACTTTGAGTTTGCCTATAATCATTAAGATATGTCTAGACAATATGGTGTAGGACCTAGGATTTTATATGGATTTCTTTAGATCTTGTTTCACCACTGATACATTAACATTATGCATGTGGGGAAAATTTCCAGTCTTCAATGATTTTCATAAAATATTCTAAGTTTATGTTTTAAAAAGCGATTCCAACAAGTTACGGATCTAGAGTGATCTCCCTTTAAGCAAGGGTTACCACCTTTTGATCTTTATGAATGATGAATTGTTTTTTAATAGCCATGAAAATGATTATTTTACAGTTTCAAGTTCACAAATGTTACTTCTCTTGCCATTAAAATTTGGTACAGATATACATCAATCGTAAGTTTTTATGAATGAGTTACACTGGTTAACCTGAGGTCAATCAGTGTAAATGACATCATTAAGCAATTCCTTCTTACTATGACGTAATAACATAAGCATTAAGACATATGAAATGTACGGGAAAGTGCATGAATTTTTCCTTCTTACTATGACGTAATAACATAAGCTTTAAGACATATGAAATGTACGGGAAAGTGAATGAATTTGTAAGTTGTCTATAAATTCACTTTAATTAAGACAGATAAATACATGTTTACCATAATCATTTTCTTGTTTATTGTAAAGGTTCTTTTTTACATTGAACTTTTGTTTATTGGTATGTTATCAATACTAGTAATTAGTGGTCAGCATTTAACAATAAATATAGATTCTACCACTGCATTGAGTGTGATACGATATTTATCCACTCGACACAGTTAAATTTTCAAATTTAAAACGCGAGGCTTGATGAGCGTTTTAAATATTAAAAATTTAACTGTCGAGAGTGGATAAATATCGTATAACACAAGATTTGGTGGTGGAATCTGTTTCTATAATGATTTTCAAACAATACGCAGGCAAACTTATTCCTGCCAAAAAATGTGTTCTTTCTCTGTGACGTCATCAGGCAAGGTCGCCTTTTTTCATGCCGTCACAATAGGAAATTCAGAGGAAAGCAAGAAAATTCGACGTCATAATCGGATTATAACCAATGAAGAACTGAGGTCAAACGAACCACAAGTTGATGAAATTTTTTTATACAGTGGGTGCAGAAAGGGATACATTGACGAAGAATTAGAGAAATTTATTGACACAATTCATTCCATGGGAGGTTATGAAATCTTACTTTATTTACATAATTCATTCCATGGGAGGTTGTGAAATCTTACTTTATTTACATAATTCATTCCATGGGAGGTTGTGAAATCTTACTTGTATTGTTTTGTTGACAATACCTGTTTACTGTGGATTCATATATTTTCCTGGGTACCAATTTCCATTGATTGAGTAACGATAGGATTTTTGTGGATACTTGATTAGTTGTCTTGCCAAATAGATATAAGAAGATGTGGTATGAGTGCCAATGAGACAACTCTCTATCCAAGTCACAATTTATAAAAGTAAACCATTATAGGTCAAAGTACGGTCTTCAACACGGAGCCTTGGCTCACACCGAACAGCAAGCTATAGAGGGCCCCAAAAATGACTAGTGTAAAACCATTCAAACGGGAAAACCAACGGTCTAATCTATATAAAAAACGAGAAACGAGAAACACTTATGAACCACATCAACAAACGACAACTACTGAACATCAGATTCCTGACTTAGGTGCTAAAGTCTGTTTTCAAACCTATTAGAAGTTTGTACTTTGTTGAACGTTTAAATTCGATATTCACTTATATCCACGAAATCCAAGAAAATTGGTAATCCACAAATAATGAATCCACAGTATTATTGTTTATTTTTTAAGATATTTTAAAAAGAAAAGCTTAATCTCTTATCACCCTAAAGATTAAAAAAAAGTGGATAAATTTTTGAAGAAGGTAATGAAAATAAGTATCCCACAAGTATTTACTGATGAGTCTACAGTGGATTAGACTTTAGTTGAATCTCCTGTTGACAATTGTTGTTGATGTTGCATTTATGTCATGAACATGATATCTAATAAATTATTTCAGCATGAAATGTGTTAGTTGTTGATAGTGAGGGTTAGGGACTGTCTCAAGATGTGACAGTTGTTGTTAGTGAGGGTTAGGGACTGTCTCAAGATGTGACTTTCTTGTACGCATCCAATATTAAGTCGATGACAGAAAAATATAATCTTTTTTTTTAACTTGCCTGGTCCAAAGGGCCAAGTGAGCTTTTCTCATCACTTGGGTTGCGATGTCTGTTGTTTGTTAACTCTTACATCTCCTCTGAAACTACTTGGCCAGATTGAACCACTTGCCCACTATCATCGTTGGGGTATCTTGCTTATAAATAGAGAAAATGTGACAGGCAGAAATGTTCAGAATGTTGAGACCTACTGTCCATTTACATAAAAACTGTCAGATTACTTCTTACAGGAGTAATTGCCCTTAAATGACAAATTTTACCAATTACCAATTATTTTCATGTTTGCCTATTATTTTGAAAACAAAAATAGATACAGAGAAAACTTTAATAGCGAAAATGATCTACAAATAAGTCTAATGGCCGAAATGGTCAGTCAACTCCTTATTTGAGTTGTTGCTCTTTTATTAAGATTTGATAGGCTATAAATCAATATTTGTACGCAAAATGATCAGCAAGACATGATCCACAAATAAACCAAATGGCACAAATCATCAGTCCACTCCGTATAGAAAATTCTTGCTTTGTAATGACTATTTTTACCAATTTTTGTGTTTTTGGCAAAAACCAGAAGATGTACACAGAAAAAATTATCATTAATGCAAGTCCAACAAAAGAGATTTTAGTCATGAATTATACTCTAGTATATAATGTTGCATTTTTTAAGATGCACAGAGCTAGATAAGCGACAGTCTCTTTAGAGCCTCTGATACTGTGGAAACTACTATAAATAGAATAAATTGCTTCGCAGAGCGCAGCTGGATACTGGATACGACTGCAGAGGTCCAACCCTGAACAGTTGGGGCAAAAATGGACACAATATTCGCGCTTGATACAGGTCTGAATTTGAATTGTAATTCAATATTTGACATATAATAGGTTTCTGAGACAGAATAACTAGTCAAAGAACTTAGAATTGGTTACGAATTGCCCCCCCCCTAAAAAAAATAATATTTTACCCTTCAAAAATTTTGTTTTTTAAACCCCCCTCCCCCCCCCCCCCCCTCCCTTTTTGATTTCTGAAATCTTGAGGAGAAAAAATTGTCCCACCCCCACCACCAATTTTGTTTACCCCCCCAATTTTTTTTTAACAGAGAGATCCATACACTGTTCCACAAGTTATTGTCATGAAACTAGAAAAATGCTTATTTGGGCCCCTTTTTGGCCCCTAATTCCTAAACTGTTGAGACCATAACCCCAAAAATCAATCCCAACCTTACTTTTGTGGTTATAAACCTTATGTTTAAATTTCATAGATTTCTATTTACTAATACTAAAGTTATTGTCCGGAAACCAAATGTCTTCGGACGACGCTGACGACATCGACGTGATACCAATATACGACCGCAAAATTTTTTTACGGCCATTTTAAAACTAGTTACAGCTTATAAGATCTAAAAATAAATGTTGTCCTTTAAAGACGATTTTCACTCATGATTGTGCTTTTTGCAGAAACTAATGAAAAAAGAGAACCTGTTTACAGCACAAATTATCATAAGGACTGTTGAAGATCTACATTCAAGTCAACATAGCCAAAACTGTCAGTCAATTCCTTAAAGGAGTTATAACCCTTGAAAGACAATTTAACCCATTTTTGTGTTTTTGCAGAAACTGTTCATTGGGAATTGTGACAATCATGGCAAGATATTTAACTATGTCAACATGGTCTTAATAGTCAGTCAACTTCTTAAAGGAGTAATAACCCTTGAAAGATGATTTTTCCCATTTTTATACGCCCGTTTACGGGACATATTATGGTATACCGTTGTCCGTCTGTCCGTCCATCTGTCCGTCGTCAACATGTCGGACATTAACTAAAAAATGCTTTAACCAATTTGTATAAAACTTTGGTGAATTGTTTATATCTATTGACGTGAGTTCCCTTTCGTTTTTTATAAAATTTAGATTTTACGTTTCTGAGTTATGGGGTTTTATTCATTAAAAAAAGGGGGATTTTCCAGTTTTCGGACAATAAGTCAAGAATTCTTTCACCAACTTGCAAGAAATTGTGGTGAATTTTTTATATCTATTGACATGAGCTCCCTTTCAATTTTTATAAATTTTAGATTTTATGTTTCCGATATACAGGGTTTTATTCATAAAAAAAGGGGGGATTTTCCAGTTTTCGGATAAAAACTCAAAAATGCTTTCAGCAATTCTTATGAAACTTTGGTGAATTGTTTGTATGTATTGATGTAAGCTCCCTTTAGAATTTTATAAATTTTACATTTTACATTTCTGAGTTATGGGGTTTTATTCATTAAAAAAAGGGGTGATTTTCCAGTTTTCGGACAATAACTCAAAAATGCTGTCACCAATTCTCATGAAACTTTGGTGAATTGTTTATATCTATTGATGTAAGCTCCCTTTTTATTTTCATAAATTTCTAATATGACATTTAGAATTAATTGAACTTTATTTGTTTATAGTTTGACAACAGATTTACAGAAGTATTGCATAACACCAAGAAATCTTTAATTGAACATAAATTCAATTCATATAACCAATTTCAAGTTCTTTGAATACATTTATTCAGAAACCTATAATATGTCAAATATTTAATTACAATCCAAATTCAGACCTGAATCAAGCTTGAATATTGTGTCCATTTTTGCCCCAACTGTTCAGGGTTGGACCTCTGCGGGCGTATCTAGCTGCGCTCAGCGAAGCAGTTTATTGTGTTTTTGCAGAAACTATAAGGGAGCTACCATTTGATTTTTATGGGGGGCTAGGATGAAAAATTTTGTCCTGCATTTTTTTTTAATTGTAATCTCTGTCCTGCCTTTTTATTTTTCTCTCTATTCGGTCCTACCTATTTTTTTATTAGTTTATCCTGACTTTTTTTACATAAATTGTCATCCTGCCTTTTTTTTTTGCCAAGTTGCTCATCCTGCCTTTTTTTTTACTCAAAACTCCTGTCCTGCCTTTTTTTTCAAATTTCATCCTAGCCCCCCACCCCCATAAAAATCAAATGGTAGCTCCCTAAGTTTACATTATTACACTTCCCGGTTATATTATTATGTAGATATGCAGGACTATGAAGTTTGTGGTTGGTTTTGATTCAAGAAAGTTCCCCTAGTTGTTTTTCTACTTTTCAAGTTTCTTTAATTTACACTTTACCATGTGAACAATCTACAGTTAAATTTTGAACAGCCTTGGAAAATGGAGTTCTTGAGTTTGATTGCCAGACATATTAAAACTATTCTTTAATTTTGGCATTTGCTGCTTCTTTCATTTGTATGTTGCATTTAGGAGAAGTCATTGATTACTGTAAATTCAGAAATTATTGCGTGCATTTATTATTGCGTTTTTGTCATTTTAGACTAAAATGTGATTTTAATTTTTGCGATGAGAAAAATTATGTTTAATTCATATAAAAAATTTAAAAATGCTTGTTTAAATTATTGCGATTATAACCCTGTTGCATTTTCGCAATAATAAAAACATCGCAATAATTTCTGAATTTACAGTACTCAGCCAGCCACAAGACTTATCACAATATTATATACAAGTTAAATCAGATAAACTGTTATCACAGCGATATGTCTCGCCTTTTTGTAATTTTGATAATGCAAATGTTGAAATTTATTTTTATTAAAATAGCAATACTTTAACACGCAAGTTATGCAAATATTCAAAGTCGATGAATCATGACTGAAGGTACATGGCTAAACAATCTCCATGAAAATGGGATGTGTCAATGCTAATACAGCTGCATACCAAATACCATTGACTTATTATAAGTTGTTCCCTTTAAACAAACCTAAATACAAACATTAACTTGTAAACTATGTAAAAGTTTCAAAGTCAATAAACCATGATGAGGGGGTGGGGCTATATAATCTCCATAGAAACGATATTTGCAAATGCCAATAAATTTGCATACCAAATATCATTAACTTAACATTAGCAGTTCATCTTAAACTGATATAATCACAAACTAATACATGTAAACTATGCAAAAGTTTCGAAGTCAATAGACCATGACTGAGCGGACGGGACCAAATATTCTCCATGGAAATGAGACGTGCTAATGCTAATACAACTGAATACCAATTAACATTGGCCTACCACTAATGGTTCCCCTTGAACTGACCTAATCACAAACTAATACATTGTTGACGCCGCCGACGCATGAAACAGCATACCTATGTCTCACTTTTTGACTATCGTCAAGGCAAGACAAAAACAGACACCAACAAATTTTAGTAACAATTTTACTCTGATAAATTTCAGTCAATTTTAACAATATAAATAAACTATCAAAATGAATCACAAACAACAATATACAATATAAAATTTCATTAAAAATTTTCCATCTTTTAAAAATCACAATTTTTTCAACACTATTTTAAAATACATAACAGCTCGGATGGATTTATTTATTTTGACTTAATGTGGATTAGTTATTATTCCTTGAATATCAATTTTAGTGGATTTCGTTGGGATAGATGAACAATGAATGTAAGTGTTCCACAAAGTATAAATATCCTATTGGCTTGTATGCAATAGTTGGCAAGCCACGAAATCATGTATCCGCAAAAATTCAATATTTCCTCAATCTACGAAAATTGATACCCATGAAAATGAATGAATCAACAGTATGCATGGTGGGAATATAGGACACATACATACCCTGCCCCTATGGATTGATCATGCCATTTCTCTTACATCATAAGAATTGTACAAACAATACCTCGGAAAAACGAGTAGGCCTTTCCTTTGGATATTTGTTACAAAAATCCACGAACAAATAATAATGAATCCACAGTACCATTGAATTATGTCATTATCATCTACATATTTAAATGTTTGAGCAAAAAAATTCAGCATATATACTGTAAATTTAGAAATGATTGTGTGCATGTATTATCAAAGGGGGGTCTCATTGGGGGGGTTCTGATCCGGATCCAGCTTACTGTTTTGTCAGATTCCCATATCTTGCTTACATTATGTATGTAAGCAATTCTCATTTTTTTGTAATTTCTTGTGTCCCGCTAGACTTCATTTCCCGTTTTCACAGCACAATAATTTGACTTTCACGTATCACGCTTACAAAAAATTGGCAATCCCGGGTCATGCTTAGACCCCAAAAAATTAATGAGACCCACTCATAATTGTTAACCAATGTACACAAATAAAATGTGAGATTATTTCTTGCAGTTTCAGGAAATGTTGCATACAAATAACGCTATCAAAATTTATCGTGCAAGTTTTTATTTTTGCGTCACCTATTTTAATTTTTCACAATAATAAAAGCATCAATAATTTCTCAATTTACAGTTCTTCAACAAATGTTATGATTGATTGATTGTTTGTTGCTTTCATAATGTTCAACAAGTTGCAATTTATTCATGTATATTTATATAATTAGGATGTAGTCAGGTTTAGGAATTTTTGTCAGAAGTTCGGACTCCTTGGTTTTTTTCCTGAGATACAGGGTAAAATATTTTGCCCCATAACACCCATTTTTCTTTTCATATAAGACTTCAACAGCTCATAAAAGGTCATTTACCAAAATTTAAGCAGATTCTAGATTTCTTTTCTATCGATTTGGGACCCAAATAATACCAATGCAAATATAAGGTATAAGTCCAAGTCAGCCTTTTCCCGCCATTTTATAAAAATTAAATATCTCGAAAAGGAGCTCCATAACCTATCAATATTTTTAGCTTATTTTGTTCCTTAACTAATGCTCTTCTGACTTATAGTATTAATTTTAAATACTAGATTTTTTTAATTTCACCTATAAAGTACATCCTTAATTCAATATGTAGGTACTGCAAGGTGGGATGTAAGAGATGATGGGGAGGAAATTTTGAACTACCACTAGAATACAATAGTATGATGGATAGGGACATACAAGATACAGCAACTTCTTCAAAAGGCTAAAATAGGGTCATTGGCAATCATACCACATCTTATTTTTATATTATACCTTGTAAAAAGGTGTGGTTATCAACAGTGGCAGATACAGGATAGGGCACAAAGGGCAAACTTCCTCCCACCTAGCTTTGATCGGCCCCCCCCCCCAATTGCAAAATAATCCCATTTTATTCACAATTTATATGACTTTATAGCATAAGATTGTCCTAAACAATTTCGTTTTTAAGCAATATTTAATGTGTTTTCTGGAATTACGCCCCTTTTAAAAACACTGAATGAACTGTTAAACAAGAAGTCAACTGTTTAACTGTTTAACTCACAGGCACTTGGGGCATTGTACCCTCTTTTTTTTTCTTTTTTTCCTTTATTTGGTGTTTTAATTTTTTTAAGTAAATTAAATTTCTTTGAGATTTTAAATTATTTTTAGTTACTTAATGTGTTCATGCTCCTATTCATACAATTTTTAGTAGTTTGTATGTGCTGTCCCTATCTTTATTCGTATTGAAAATAAGAATAGTGGGCCAGCACGTAAAAACTACTGTTAATGAACAATCTTTTGAATAGGAGCAAGAACACACCAATGAAGTGAAAATAAGTAGAATTTAAACAAGTAAATTAATCTAACACTGGAGAAAGAAGAAAAAAGCCCATTCCCCAAATGGTGGTTTCACTTACAGACGAAAAAGTCAACAGGATAAATTAAGGCACTTTAAATTGGATCCAGCGTAACTTGTGCAGATTTTGTTTCAAAGAACGAGCTACGTGTTCCTGCAAAGGAAGTTAGAATTTATTCCAAAAATACCTATAGGTAGTCTAAATACTCATATGGTCCAGACCATTAATAACCATATGAGTATATGCATATGGTCATGACCATACAAGAATGGTCCAAATATTCATATGGTAATGACCATACAAGAATGGTCCAAATATTCATATGGTCATGACCATACAAGAATGGTCCAAATATTCATATGGTCATGACCATACAAGAATGGTCCAAATATTCATATGGTCATGACCATACAAGAATGGTCCAAATATTCATATGGTCATGACCATACAAGAATGGTCCAAATATACATATGGTCATGACCATACAAGAATGGTCCAAATATTCATATGGTCATGACCATACAAGAATGGTCCAAATATTCATATGGTCATGACCATACAAGAATGGTCCAAATATTCATATGGTCATGACCATACAAGAATGGTCCAAATATTCATATGGTCATGACCATACAAGAATGGTCCAAATATTCATATGGTCATGACCATACAAGAATGGTCCAAATATTCATATGGTAATGACCATACAAAAATGGTCCAAATATTCATATGGTCAGGAACAAATCCATAGGACACAATGCTAATGTTCCATGTTCAGTGAATTACAAAATCTAGGACAAATACTTGTTTGGTATATCTTTTAAAAAGTTCATATCACAATGAAACAACAATGATACACAACAGAAGAGACACAAAAACCAAACAGAAACAAAATCCCCCCCTACTATCAAAGGCAGGGCATAAAATATCCCTACTATATCATAGGCAGGGCATAAAATATTGTATCAACAATTCAGAAATTTATGGAATAATAAAAAACACAAAATACCAAGGCACAACATTATTGATTGTCATAAATAAAACATGATTTGAAACATTCTAGCCTGGGTTATCTACCCTTAAAATACTTAATAGATAATACATAGACAATAATAAACATTGCACGATCAACATAAAAAAATAACCATACATTATGGTAAACTATCAATTTTTACTTTGATAAAATTTAGTTGCTTTGAACAATATAAAAATATTGTGAAAATGAATAACATACAAGAAGTAAATATTCTATCTCTAAAAAAAATACAATAATGAGGAAAGTTGGCACAGAATAGAAAATAAAGCAAAAGTTACGAAATAAAGAACAATGAAAATAAAGAATAAAGAATATTCTAGAGAATAATACAATTTCAAGTGAAATTGACAGATAAATTCGTCATTGGAACTGAAAAAAATAAAGCATTCTTTCCAAGATCCGTATTAATTAATCATCAATTCCTGAGTCCTGATATTACTAAAAGTGTACACCAGAATTCCAGCAAAAATTAAGGCCCAATCCTGACGTATTGTAAAAGGTCCTTCCACCCCTCTATTAAAGATGTATGACATAATTAATAATTTTGAAACATGTTTCTGGGTCATGAAATAGGACAATATGAGATACACTGTATGATTTCTGTAAACACCATAAAAATTGCAGTTAAATAATAAATATTAGTAAAATAATGATAATACATAATAAAAAATAAAAACTTATATCATAAATTAATAAAATTACTGCCTGTACATAATTCCTGATAAAATATAACAAAATTTCAACAAACAATATCATAAACAGTACAATTTAAACCTAACTCAAAGATATCAAAAAATTGTGAAATCACATATTTGCACTGGAATGTACATGTAATTGAGGCAGTTAAAGCTGTTTATTTGGCAACACACAGTTAACAATATAACCTTGCCAGTTGAGCAAAACATTATTGGTAAGAGTTGTCTTTCTTGGGATCAGAGAATGTAATTAATTCCTGTTTAGATTGCAAAAGATTGATTTTGTTGACATACATGTAGAAATATTATTGTAGGATTATTAAGTTGTTTATTTATTGGCTGGCCGTCATATTTGTTTTTCTCTTATTGTTTTTAAATTAATCCGGTCATTGGATTTCTGGTTTGAATTGTTTTATATTTTGTCTTCTCTGGGCATTTTCTAGATGACTATACGATATGGGGTTTGCTCATTGTTGAAGGCTGTTTGGTGACCTATTATTGTGTGTATCTCTGGTGGATAGTCGTCTCATTGGCAACCATACCACATCTTGCTATTTTTACAAAGGCAGTTATTTTGACTTAGCCGTAACAGTTCATTGGAATTTCTTGACATACACAAAAGACAACAAACCATTTTTACAAAATTTACCGTTATTAACAAACAACATTATGTTTTCTTCTAATACAAACTGCATATGCTGATAAAATATTTTTGATTATAAAATCTGATATACTTTCTATTGTTCCTTGAATAAAAAAAAACTTGAACCAGGTTTAAAAAAGAAGCATTATGACTTATTAAATCGCTTCTATCTGCTATAAAAAATGAAAACATGACGTTTTAAATTTTATACGTCCGAAGCACTTTTCTGGATTAATCTTCATCAGGAACGCTCAAAGCTGAATATTTGAAAGCCAAGGATGTATAAGAACCTAAACAGTTGAAGAGCTATATTACCAAAAAGGACCTAAAAAAAAAAAAAGCCAAAATCCATCTAAGGTCAACTTTGCCTGAGGGAGTTGAAACCTTAGTTTCTAATAATTTCAAAATTTATCAACGGACAATTTTAGAAAGGTTTGTTATAAATCAAGTCAGTACTGAAGTACTGAAGTACTGACTACTGAGCTGATGATACCCTCAGGGACTAATAGTCCACCAGCAGAGGTATCAACCCAGTTCTGTAAAAAATGAAAACAATTAACACGTTATAAATTTCATGTGTCCGAAGCATAAGTTGTATAAGATTCACAACAAAATATGTGCAAGTAAATCTCTCCCTATAGGACTTTCTAGAAACTTACTTCGGAAAGCCCCCGATCGGATTTAAAAATTACAATTAAAATACAAATTAGTTCCCTTGTACATGGTGTAGGAAAGTTAACTGGTATAAATAATACTGTTTCGCTGCACTGCAGAGCAACAGAGAGAAGTAAAATAGTAAACAATGCGTTAATTTAATTTACAAACATTTCCAGGTTTATAATCAAGTTTGATTATGAGTATGTTGCAAGACATAATACCATTAATAATTTTTAAATTTATCTAAACAAAGTATTATTTTTAAATCAACATGGAATTAAACCGCTAAGTGTCGACTCTTCATTGAGCATCATTGCCGTGAAGCAGTTCTACATCCCAAAAAGGGAAATCACCAACTTCAAATTATCATTTTAGAGTAAAATTTGTGATTCTGAAATGAGTTTTTGGAAAGGGCTTTACAATACATGTGCACAGTATTCTCAAACTTTTTATTTATTCTTTTCCAGAAAAAAAACAAATGTATCAAATGAAAAATATGGCTTGCCGTAAGTCACCTCTAGCTATTTAAATGTTCTGCAATATTCAGCTTATAAAATTAGTTAATGCCATAACAACTGATGAAGCCAAAGGTCTGGAGTTCTGCAATGTCTGCTAATTATTGTTAATTATTATTAATTATTATTATTTATTAAAAATCCAAAAATATTGTTAGACACAAGTAATTTTTACACTTTTTGAGCAATAAGTCATGGAAAAAAATTTGTGATTGACATTCTGCTTTTTTTACATAACACTTTTCTTCTTTAATTAATACCAATTATCTCCCTTTAGGAGAAAATTTATCACAATACTCACTTAAAAACAAGGCACTATAAAGCTAAACAAGAAAATCTATTTAGATGGTTAATAAGCCAAAAAAAATGTGGGTTCAGGGTGTACTACCTGAAAAATGTAGCGTCAGTTAGGGTCAATAGGTCAGAAATTGATTTTCTGAGTTACAGGCCTGAAACATATCTGAGGGGCCTGATGGGTTATTTTCGTTCTTCGTTCTTCGTGATCGGAGCATTTTCGCTATCGTGATCCGTTTTTCTACAGATTTTTTTTTTTTATATTTTCGTGATCCCTGATCATGGAAATTTATTTTCTGTGAATCGTGATTGACAAAAAAATCAACTCGTGAATCGTGATGAGACCCCCCCATCAGTACCCTCATATCTTGTTTTCACCAAGTTTGGTTCTGGTACTATACATGTGACTGAGTTACCTTCCAACATTTGCAATTAGTCAATTAACAAAGTGACAGTTTTTATCACAATTTTTATAAATTCAGTCAAATAATTTGATTAAATGTTTAGTTAGTGTTTACAAAAATTGATATGTTGGTGAACAAATTTTTAAGAAATCGTCATAAAAACATTAGAGTTGGTGCTCAAAATTAGCGCTGGTAAAACCCTGTAAACACTCTTTATTTTTGGCTGCTGCTATTATATCATGATGTTATAGTAGATAAAGCTATAACATTTCCAAAACAACTTAAACACTCTGTTGTTCTATCTCAATCTTTGGTAAAATTTCTGTAATGGTGATCCATCTAGGCTCCAAGATTTTCCATACGATCTTTTACCTCATGTAGGGGTCACATTGATTTCAGTTACAACTAAAACAGAAACAATATATAAATAATACATAGCTGAGAGGGCGATAGAGCATATTGTTACCCCAGAGAAAACATTGTCAACAGAGGCAAAGCCAAGGTTGACAATGTCTCTTCGAGGGGTAACAATCTGCTCTATCACCCTCTCAGATATGTGTTACTGTAAAATCAGAAATTAATGCGTGCATTTATTATTGCAATTTTTGAAAAATGGACAAAAATTCGTGATTTATTATTGCGATTACATGAAAATCTGCATGCATATCTTTGTATCAGATATGATTATGCGAGCTCCTATTATTGCGATTCTCACTCAGTCGCATTATTCGTATTAATAAAAACTTCGCAATAATTTCTGAATATACAGTATTCAATTTATTATACTGAATGTTCTGTTATTATTGTCTATTAAATATCAAATTCAAAGTAATAAGCTATGACGTCTTGTACATAACAATCATTCTTATTTATTAAAGCACACACTCGGTGAATGGTAATAGAGTATTTACCTTGGGATAGAGAAAATTGTCTCTCTCATATTAACCAATCAAAATCTGTCATTTTGACATGAAGTATAATATAATAAAAAAAGAAGATGCGGTATGATTGCTTATGTGACAATTCTTCACCAGAGACCAAATGAGGTAGAAGTTAAGAACTATAGGTCACTGTACTGACTTCAACAATGAGCAAAATCCATACCACATAGTAAGCTTCAAAAGGTCTAGAAATGACAAATGTAACACAATTCAAGAGAAAAAACTAATGGCCTGATTTATGTACAAAACAATTAATGAAAAACAAATATGATATACAGCAAGAAACGACAACCATTGAATTAAAGGCTCTTGACTTTGTCTCATTGGCAGTTATATTACATATGTTTAATTCTCATTTTGGAATAAAACCAAACTTTGAACTGATCAAAGAAGATAAAAATATATTGGTCTACAGTCATGATTCCAAACATCTTATCTATAGAAAAATGAAAACAACACCTTATAAATTTCATTTCTCCGAAGCACTTGGCTAGATTTACTTTCATCAGTAACGCTCAAAGGCAAATATTTGAAAGCCAAAGATGTATAAGAACCAAGACAGTTGAAGAGCTATGAACTGTATTTTTGTTTATTTCCATAGTAAAATTATATTGTTATGGAAGGCTGACTTCATCAAATAACAAACAGAAAAAGAAATTTCTGAACTGACAGAAAACAATATCAACTTCTGCAACAATTTCAAACTTACCTTCTACAGGTGGACTATCCAAGCTGAAATTAAAGATGGCCTCCTGTTGTAACTGGGTAATTGTTTTTAATACAGACATGTACTGGAATAGCGACAAGGCTATTCTGCTACTGTGGGGCCTCTTGTTGAACATGCTAGCAAAAATATCCAGAAAATGAGAGTTCAGGAGTTCTACTTTGTCTTTTTCTTCCAAATTTTCAACATCTGTAAATAAACAATAAAAAAAGTTGTTATTCCTTCTGTAAATCAGAAGTATTTATGTTTGCACTAACTTCAGGTGTAAGTACCTAGAAACCATATAATTTTGGAATCAGTATAGTCACCCATCATACTCATTTTTAAACCGGAAGCAAATTATCTCCCCTATTTCAAGCAAAAGTGCATAGAAACCTTATATTTTAGGACTATTGTGAAATAACCTATTATATAAAATAGGATGTGACTTTCTTTAATTGGAAGTTGTTAACTATTTCGATTATTTCAATGACAAAGTACCAAATTCTATGTATTTTTGAAATCAGTGCAAAACAATCTATCTCCTAACAATGGAACTCACTTTATTAACCAGAACCTATTATTTTTCACCAAATTTTTTAAATAAATATGAATTTGGGTAAGTGGAAAGACCTTCAATTGTCCTCTGATAAATTGGTTTTTAATTATTTTCAGTATTCTGTTCAGAATGCCAAATTATATCAAAAGCTACCAATAACTACTATTTTTACCTGTGTTTATAGGAAATATAAATCATACAGAATACACCATAAACATGCTATAAAGGGAGAAAACTCCATGATCTGCAATGCATTTTTTTGTACTTTCAAGTCAATTTTTTTTCCATCTGACCTGAGTTACGGCCAGGTGAAATAAAAACAGAACAGCATGAAGAATTTTTCCAGTGAGGTATCAGTTATCTTCTTATGAGGGGCTTTAGTGGCCAAGTGGTCTTAGTAGTTCATCTACAGAAATCACCGAAGGGCTCTTTTTTCATTTACAAGAATTAAACAGCTTATTGACACTAACCTGGATTAGTCAGTCTAATGGCACTTAATAAACCAATCTCAGTATCCGACAAGTTGTACTGACAAAACTTCCTGCCAAAATCTAACATCAAAGTTGTCAGCTCTTCACCAAGTATCATCTTCATTGTGGCCTTGGAATAAAACACCTTTGTGTTGTTCAATAGCACATAAGATTCATTCTCGCACAAAAACTCTGAATTGATCATCTGTAAAAAAGAAAACCATACTAATCTGTGTCCACATCAAAGTCATGTGTTTGATACACAATTTCTGTATACAATCAGCCACAGTAGCATTAATAAATGAGGAACTTCATAACTAAGAAGGGCCTACAATTGTCACAACAGTCTCGAGCACCCAATCACTCACCCAAAGCCATCCCATATAGCTCTACTTATCATCAAGAAAAGAAAAGAAAGTATTAAAGACTTTTATTGAAGTATGGGAATATTCAATCAACCAATGGGCGATGTGTCTCTCTTTTGCAACATTTCTTTACAAAAATCACCTTTACTTAAAGTTTGGGTTAACCGTTTTTCATACACATATTCTAAACTTCAAATAACAAACTTCCTAATGTCATGTATGTGCCTGTCCCAAATCAGGAGACAGTAATTCATTGGTTATCATCAGTTCATGTCTGTCATATTTTTTTTTCGTAAATTGTTTTGTTGTAAATTAGGAAGTTTAAGGTGGTACCAAACACCTTGACTAAAATTAATTTGGCTCGTTTAATTTTCATGGAAATTTTGACAAAATATTTACTTTGACCCTTTGACAAAAATATAAAAATTTCAAAAAACTTGAACCACACACTTTATCAGAAAAATTTCATTGGATATATAGCAGTTTGACAAACACTAACTTTGATCATTGAGAAGCTTAATATTTCCTTAACAATAGAATGTGATTAAAACGTTCAGCTGATTTTTACAGAGTTATCTCCCTGTAGTGTTATGTACCACCATAAAGTTTTCTCCCCTTGAATTGTTCCACATTTTTCCTGCCAGAGCCTTCATATTGGACTATACAGTATGGGTTTTTCTCATTGTTGAAGGATGTACGGTGAACTATAATTGCTTATATCTATGTCATTTGAACTCTGATGAATAGTTGTCTCATTTGCAATCATACATTGTACCTCATCTCCTTATTTTTATATTCATTCAAATTATGTTTCAAATAAATGCTTAGAAAGCATTGATGAAACTAACTTATAACAAACATTTTACTGATTTAAAACCAAACAGAAAGAAGTAAGGTTACCTAATCTAGATCTAAAAAAGGATTTAATGCTTATCTTAGGAACAACTAATCAATTTGTTATTCTTTAGACTTATTAAATCAAAATACTTCTACTGGCTAAAATTTCAAATTCAAATCAGATTAAAATCTATTGGCCTCTTTTCCTTGATTTAGGCACCTTTTTGTTATATAATTTGAGCTTTGAAATATAAACAGCAATCCTCAACTCCAAAAAAAAACAATATAATATTCATTATTAAAATTAAAACTTCATTGTTGCTTCTTTAAATTATATTATTTTTTTCCCCAGCTCATCACCTTTTCGTAAATTAGGAAATACAAATAAAAAATAACTAGCTCGCTTCTTTTCTAAGCAGACAAACTAAGAATTACAAATTAATCTAATGTCGCCTTTTTTACCATCCAGATTTCCATGTAGGCATTCATAGTAAGTTTTTCTTGGTCAGCCATTGTAAATTTAGAAAATCCAGGAGTTTTACTGGCAAAACCTGAAAATATATAATTTTACAGTTTTTAAATACATCATGAAAATTCAATTTGAGACAAAAAATGACTGATTGACATCAGTATGTAATCAAAAACATTTTATCTTCTATTTTAATGTCAAAATAAATATTAAGATCAAGTACATCAATTAAATCTTGGATCCTTTCAAAGAAAAATTCAAACTTGATCAATTACATTTATTGGTGATTCATAATTATTCGTGGAAAACCGGGTACCTAATTTCGTCAATTTCATAGGAAAAAGTGAACAACGATTCAAATGTTTAACTAAGTACATTTTCCAAAAGATTTATATTCAGGATTTTGTTGAACCACGAAATCATATATCCATGAAACAACAATTTTTTCTCCATCCACGGAAATTGGTACCCATGAAAAACAACAATTGATCAATGTAACCAATTATACTGCACCAAATGAGAATTACAGGAATTAATGTCTATACAGTGATGCTAAAGGCCAAATTATTTAAAATTCATTGGACCATTGGTCATTTAATCTTTGGTAGATAGTTAACTCATTGGCAATCACACAAAATCTCCTTACTTTATATTGATGAACTGATACAAACAAGAGTATGTCTTCTATAAGCCTTACCCATAACTAGATCATTGAAATATTTTACTCCTTCCATCAGCCTTACCGATAACTTTCTCATTGTAATAATTTACTCCTTCGATCAGCCTTACCCATAACTAGATAATTGAAATATTATACTCCTTCCATCAGCCTTACCCATAACTTGCTCATTGTAATGATTGACTCCTTCCATCAGCCTTACCCATAACTTGCTCATTGTAACAATTTACTTTTTCCATCAGCCTTACACATTACTTGCTCATTGTAATAATTTACTCCTTCCATCAGCCTTATCCATAACTTTCTCATTGTAATATTTTACTCCTTCCATCAGCCTTACCCATAACTTGCTAATTGTAATATTTTACTCCTTCTATCAGCCTTACCCATAACTTGCTCATTGTTATATTTTACTATTTCCGTCAGCCTTACCCATAATTTGCTCATTGTAATATTTTATTATTTCCATCAGTCTTACCCATAACATGTTCATTGTAATATTTTACTCCTTCCATCAGCCTAACCCATGACTTGCTCTTCAATCAGCCTTACCCATAACTTGCACTTCCATCAGACTTACCCATAACTTGCTCTTCCATCAGCCTTACCAATAACTTGCTCATTGTAATAATTGACTCCTTCCATTAACCTTACCCATAACTTGCTCATTGTAATAATTTACTCCTTCCATCAGCCTTACCCATAACTTGCCAATTGTAATAATTTACTCCTTCCATCAGCCTTACCCATAACTTGCTCATTGTAATAATTGACTACTTCCATTAACCTTACCCATAACTTGCTCATTGTAATAATTGACTACTTCCATCAGCCTTACCCATAACTTGCTCATTGTAATAATTGACTACTTCCATCAGCCTTACCCATAACTTGCTCATTGTGATATCTTACTTCTTCCATCAGCCTTACCCATAACTTGCTCATTGTAATAATTTACTCCTTCCATCAGCCTTACCCATAACTTGCTAATTGTAATAATTTACTCCTTTCATTAGTCTTGCCAATAGCTAGCTCATTGTAATAATTGACTACTTCCATTAACCTTACCCATAACTTGCTCATTGTAATAATTTACTCCTTCCATCAGCCTTACCCATAACTTGCTAATTGTAATAATTTACTCCTTTCATTAGTCTTGCAAATAGCTACATGTAGCTCATTGTAATAATTTACTCCTTCCATCAGCCTTACCCATAACTTGCTCATTGTAACAATTTACTTTTTCCATCAGCCTTACACATAACTTGCTCATTGTAATAATTTACTCCTTCCATCAGCCTTACCCATAACTTTCTCATTGTAATAATTTACTCCTTCCATCAGCCTTACCCATAACTTTCTCATTGTAATAATTTAATCCTTCCATCAGCCTTTCCAATAACTTGCTCATTGTAATAATTTACTCCTTTCATTAGTCTTGCCAATAGCTAGCTCATTGTAATAATTTACTCCTTCCATCAGCCTTACCCATAACTTTCTCATTGTAATAATTTACTCCTTCCATCAGCCTTACCCATAACTTGCTCATTGTAATAATTTACTCCTTCCATCAGCCTTACCCATAACTTTCTCTGTAATAATTTACTCCTTCCATCAGCCTTACCCATAACTTTCTCATTGTAATAATTTACTCCTTCCATCAGCCTTACCAATAACTTGCTCATTGTAATAATTTACTCCTTTCATTAGTCTTGCCAATAGCTAGCTCATTGTAATAATTTACTCCTTCCATCAGCCTTACCCATAACTTGCTCATTGTAATATTTTACTCCTTCCATCAGCCTTACCCATAACTTGCTCGTTGTAATATTTTACTCCTTCCATCAGCTGGTTCCAAATGAATTTCAATTCTTTCCTGTCAGTGTTTGTCATAGGAACTATCCACTAAAAAAAATTATATGTTTGTTTTACAATAGAAGCTCCACCACATGATTATGGGATCATTTTGCTTTTAATTTTTTCAGATTTGAAACTTTAGGATATTTTTGTTGAATTTAGGATATATTTATCAATAATTAGCATTATTGGTAATTCATCTTTTTTACACCTGATTTTTAGAGTGTACTCGATAAGTAGCTGTTGATATCAATCTTTTATGTAAATTTTATCAGAATTAATGTGCCTTTCATGTGCAGGTGCTGTAAAAACCTAAGGGTGGATTTTTCAAACTTTGAAAGAAAATTATGAAAAGTATATAAAATGTAATTGTACAATATTGCAGCAAAAGTGTGTAAGAACATGACAACCCCTAACAATTTTGGTGGCAGTGTAACAAAATATTGTGTGTTTGTTCATTCCACATTGGGTAGAGGTATAGGGTCAGGGGGAGGGTTGAGGTCACACAAAACATGTTTTACACCGCCACATTTTTGCAACTTTCCCAAGTCAGGAACCTCTAGCCTTTGTTAGTCTTGTATTTTTTAAATTCTGTTTCATTTGTATGTTTCAGAGTTTAATGTGGGGTCCATTTCCCTGAATTAGTATACATTATTGTTTATAATAAAACTCGGGTCTGGAATTTTCTTGCTGCTTTGAAGACCCATTGGTGGCCTTGGGTTGTTTTCTGCTCTTTGGGTGGGTTTTTGTCTCTTTGACAAATTCCCTGCTTCCATTCTCTATTCTATTGTCTAATCAAAGAAAATCTATCTGACCTGAAGTGTATTTCTAAGCTTTTCATTTAACTTACCTTGCCACTCTTATGTTTTTCATTTAACTTACCTCACGACTTTAAAGCTTTTCATTTAACTTACCTCGCCACTTTAAAGCTTTTCATTTCACTTACCTCACCACTCTTATGCCTTTCATTTAACTTAATACCTCGCCACTCTTATGCCTTTCATTTAACTTACCTCACCACTCTTATGCTTTTTGATTTAACTTATCTCACCACTCTTATGCCTTTCATTTAACTAACCTCGCCACAATTATGCCTTTCATTTAACTAAGTACCTCGCCACTCGTATGCCTTTCATTTAACTAAGTACCACGTCACTCTTATGCCTTTCATTTAACTTACCTCCCCACTCTTATGCCTTTCATTTAACTTACCTCCCCACTCTTATGCTTTTTGATTTAACTTATCTCACCACCCTTATGCCTTTCATTTAACTTACCTCACCACTCTTATGCCTTTCATTTAACTTACCTCCCCACTCTTATGCTTTTTGATTTAACTTATCTCACCACCCTTATGCCTTTCATTTAACTTACCTCACCACTCTTATGCTTTTCATTTAACTTACCTCGCCACTCTTATGCTTTTCATTTAGCTTACCTCCCCACTCTTATGCCTTTCATTTAACTTACCTGGCAACTCTTATGCTTTTTATTTAACTTACCTCACCACTCTTATGCTTTTCATTTAACTTACCTCACCACTCTTATGCTTTTCATTTAACTTACTTTGTCACTCTTATCCTTTTCATTTAACTTACCTCCCCACTTTTATGCCTTTCTTTTAACTTACCTGACAACTCTTATTCTTTCCATTTAACTTACCTCACCACTCTTATGCCTTTCATTTAACTTACCTGACAACTCTTATCCTTTTCATTTAACTTACCTCCCCACTCTTATGCCTTTCATTTAACTTACCTCACCACTCTTATGCTTTTCATTTAACTTACCTGACAACTCTTATGCTTTTCATTTAACTTACTTCGCCACTCTTAAGCTTTTCATTTAACTTACCTAACCACTCTTATGCCTTTCATTTAACTTACTTCACCACTTTTATGCCTTTCATTTAATTTACTTCGCCACTCTTATGCTTTTCATTTAACTTACCTCACCACTCTTAAGCTTTTCATTTAACTTACCTCACCACTCTTATGCCTTTCATTTAACTTACCTCACCACTCTTATGCCTTTCATTTAACTTACCTCACCACTCTTATGCCTTTCATTTAACTTACCTCACCACTCTTATGCTTTTTGATTTAACTTACCTCACCACTCTTAAGCTTTTCATTTAACTTACCTCACCACTCTTATGCCTTTCATTTAACTTACCACGCCACTCTTATGCCTTTCATTTAACTTACCTCACCACTCTTATGCCTTTCATTTAACTTACCTCACCACTCTTATGCTTTTTATAACACTCCCTGTTAAAGGATTGATAATAAAACAGAAAATCAACTGGTGCTTTAAATCTTTCCAATGTCACATCAATCAGCTCTTTTGATTCTTTCGCTACTTCCTCTGATTTTTCAACTTCAGTTCCGTTCATGTCGAAATTTATTTGTTGAACATTTCCTAATTGCCTGCTCACCAAATTTTCAGCATTAATCATATTATATGTAATGGCACTGTTTGTGTTGTCTTCATTGGGCGAAGCAACTTCTGCCAATCTCAATGCATCTAGTTGTCCTTCACCAATAGACGTTGTACTCTGACTCGACAGGCTGTTTGATCGTTCATGTAGTATCTGTGTCACCTCAGGTTTTTCAAGAACCTGTCTAACGAGTTCTTCTATCACTATTGAGCTAAAATGCACCTTAGAAGTAGAAGGTACATTAGGACTACATGTGGACATCTGGGCATCCAAATTAGAAGAAGAAAATGTGGATGGTCGTAATACATCGTGATTGTTTGAGAAAGTTTGTACATTTTGAGAATTTGATTCATGCATGTTTTTATCACAACTTTCACTACTAGCACTTAATGATAATGGATTTATACCATTAGTGGAATTGTGCTGCAATAATGGATTTTGTGACGCGAGTGTATGCCCTTTCTGCAGATTTTGCCATGACAGCTCAGAAAATTCAGTCTTTTGAAAATCCATAGGTAAATTTTGACAACTTTCATTTGCTGAATTTCTTGGACTTCTCCAGTTCTCAAAACTCCTATCGTTTTGGGATTTTTCTTGAAATTCCTGACAATTTTGTAATCTCCCTTTGAAGTTCTGTTCAATTTCAGAGCTTTCACGAAAGTCATGATGATTTAGCATTCTTGAGTTTGTTTCTATCTCACAATTTTCTAACGTATTCACGTGCGGAACATGCATTTGATTTCCCTCTTCTAATGATTGAGGGCTCACAGAACATACCTTTTGGGGAGCAAAAGAGTGTCTCTGTTCCATAGAACACACATTTTGTTGAAAAGAAGAACTCAATTCTTCTCTTTGAAGAAAGTTATTGATTTGGTCCGGTGTTTTCTCATCGGCTGCTTCAGCCAAGGCTTTCTCTTTCTCCGTCTTTGGTATTCTGCCCATTTTTACCGCTGAAAAAAATATATACGGGTATGTGTCAAATTTTCATTTAATTTCAATGATGTGCCTTTTGATCATTTAAATGTTTGTATTGTTTCAGTACTGTGGATTCATTATTATTCGTTGGGTACCAATTTTCGTTTATTCCATGGGTACAGTTGAACAACGAACTTAAATGTTCAACAAAATTACACATTTTCTATCGGTTTGTATGTCATTTCTGTCATGGAGTTTTTCTGAGTTATTTCTGTCATGGAGTTTTTCTGAGTTATTTCTGTCATGGAGTTTTTCTGAGTTATTTTTGTCATGGACTTTTTTTTTGTCATTTTTTCCATAGAGTTATTGTTATGTTATTTTTATCATGATCATGGAGTTTATCTCAGTCATATCTGGGTCAATGAAGATTTTCTCATTCATTTCTGTCAAAGATTTTTCCTCAGTCATTTCTTCTATAGAGTTTTTGTTATGTTATTTTTATCATGATCATGGAGTTTATCTCAGTCATATCTGGGTCAATGAAGATTTTCTCATTCATTTCTGTCAAAGATTTTTCCTCAGTCATTTCTTCTATAGAGTTTTTGTTATGTTATTTTTATCATGATCATGGAGTTTATCTCAGTCATATCTGGGTCAATGAAGATTTTCTCATTCATTTCTGTCAAAGATTTTTCCTCAGTCATTTCTTCTATAGAGTTTTTGTTATGTTATTTTTATCATGATCATGGAGTTTATCTCAGTCATATCTGGGTCAATGAAGATTTTCTCATTCATTTCTGTCAAAGATTTTTCCTCAGTCATTTCTTCTATAGAGTTTTTGTTATGTTATTTTTATCATGATCATGGAGTTTATCTCAGTCATATCTGGGTCAATGAAGATTTTCTCATTCATTTCTGTCAAAGATTTTTCCTCAGTCATTTCTTCTATAGAGTTTTTGTTATGTTATTTTTATCATGATCATGGAGTTTATCTCAGTCATATCTGGGTCAATGAAGATTTTCTCAGTCATTTCTGTCAAAGATTTTTCCTCAGTCATTTCTTCTATAGAGTTTTTCTAGGTGATCTCTGTCATGCATGGAGTTTACCTCAGTCATTTCAGTGTCAGAGGAGTATCTCACAGTCAAATATGTCATGGATTTTCCTCAGTCATTTCTGTCATTGAGTTTTTCTCAGTCATTTTTTTATCGTCAAAAGTTACTGAGTCATTTTGGTAATTTAACCTTTTCTTAAAATAAATCTGACAGACTGTCATGATGTTTTTGTCATTTTTAAAAGTAAGACTTAATAACAGTGATCTTTAAATCTAAATATTATTGTCCTTTTTTCTTGTATTGGTTGCTGTCTAATTGATGTTTACCCCCATCTATCTTTACTCAAACTCACCATCAATAGACATTCCAAATTGAAGACACATATTAAACCTGCATGATTTACATCGATTCCTATTCTTTGGTGAAATATCACATTGTCCTCCGAAAAAACACTTATATTTATGTGCTTTTGGGATACTCCTCTTGAAAAATCCCTAAAAATTACAAATATAAACATGTTGTACTGTGTATTCATTATTATTCGTCGGATACCAGTTTTGGTTACTTTTGTTGATAAAGGTGAACCGTGAATTTAAATGTTCATCAAAGTACAAACTTTCTATAGGCTTGTAAATAGCATACATTTGTACACATTAAACTATTACCATGATAAACTAGAGGCTCTCAAGAGCCTGTGTCGCTCACCTGACTCTACTTTGGTTTTAGAAATCATGTAAAGATAGATAAAAATCATAACAGATACCCAAATAATGATTGAGGCCAAATTTTGATTAATATTGGTCCCGTTATTTAATAAAATATCCTGGTGGCCATCTTGAACAGTAAATCGGCAACAAAGTAGCAACACTCGGCCATCTTGGATGATGGATCGACTGCAAAGTAACAACACTTGGTCAGCAACTCATAAGGAACATTCATGCCATGTTTGGTTCAATTCCATTCAGTGGTTCCCTAAAAGAAGACAATTGTATGTATTTCCCATAGGGTCCTATGTTAAATTAAGTCCCCCGCTGTCGGCCATCTTGGATGATGGATCGGCTGCAAAGTAACAACACTTGGTCAACATCTCATAAGGAACATTCATGCCATGTTTGGTTCCATTCCATTTATTGGTTCTCCAAACGAAGACATTTTCATGTATTTCCCAAAGGGTCCTATGTAAAACTAAGTCCCCCGCTGGCGACCATCTTGGATGATGGATCAGCTACAAAGTAACAACACTTGGTCAGCATCTCATAAGGAACATTCATGCCATGTTTGGTTTCATTCCATTCAGTGGTTCTCTATAAAAGAAGACATTTGTATGTATTTCCCATAGGTCCTTTGTTAAACTAAGTCCCCTGCTGTCTGCCATCTTGGATGATGGACCGACTGCAAAGTAACAACACTTGGTCAGCACCTCATAAGGAACATTCATGCCATGTTTGGTTTCATTCCATTCAGTGGTTCTCTAAAAGAAGACATTTGTATGTATTTTCCATAGGGTCCTATGTTAAACTAAGTCCCCCGCTGGCGGCCATCTTGGATGATGGATCGGCTACAAAGTAACAACACTTGGTCAGAACCTCATAAGGAACATTCATGCCATGTTTGGTTTCATTCCATTCAGTGGTTCTCTAAAAGAAGACATTTGTATGTATTTCCAATAGGGTCCTATGTTAAACTAAGTCCCCTGCTGGCAGCCATCTTGGATGATGGACCGACATCAAAGTAACAACACTTGGTCAGCATCTCATAAGGAACATTCATGCCATGTTTGGTTTCATTCCATTCAGTGGTTCTCTAAAAGAAGACATTTGTATGTATTTCCCATAGGGTCCTATGTTAAACTAAGTTCCCCAATGGCGACCATCTTGGATGATGGATCGGCTACAAAGTAACAACTCATGGTCAGCACCTCATAAGGAACATTCATGCCATGTTTGGTTTTATTCCATTCAGTGGTTCTCTAAAAGAAGTCATTTGTATGCATTTCCCATAGGGTCCTATGTTAAACTAAGTCCCCCGCTGGCGGCCATCTTGGATGATGGATCGGCTACAAAGTAACAACACTTGGTGAGCACCTAATAAGGAACATTCATGCCATGTTTGGTTTCATTCCATTCAGTGGTTCTCTAAAAGAAGTCATTTGTATGCATTTCCCATAGGGTCCTATGTTAAACTAAGTCCCCTGCTGGCGGCCATCTTGGATGATGGATCGGCTACAAAGTAACAACACTTGGTCAGCACCTCATAAGGAACATTCATGCCATGTTTGGTTTCGTTCCATTCAGTGGTTCTCTAAAAGAAGACATTTGTATGTATTTCCCATAGGGTCCTATGTTAAACTAAGTTCCCCGATGGCGGCCATCTTAGATGATGGATCGGCTACAAAGTAACAACACTTGGTCAGCACCTCATAAGGAACATTCATGCCATGTTTGGTTTCATTCCATTCAGTGGTTCTCTAAAAGAAGTCATTTGTATGCATTTCCCATAGGGTCCTGTGTTAAACTAAGTCCTCCGCTGGCGGCCATCTTGGATGATGGATCGGCTACAAAGTAACAACACTTGGTCAGCACCTCATAAGGAACATTCATGCCATGTTTGGTTTCATTCCATTCAGTGGTTCTCTAGAAGAAGTTCAAAATGTAAAAAGTTAACGCCGACGACGGACGACGCCGGACGACGACGGACGACGGACGCCAAGTGATGAGAAAAGCTCACTTGGCCCTTCGGGCCAGGTGAGCTAAAAAGGGTTAATACTGTAAATTCAGAAATTATTGCGATGTTTTTAATATTGCGAAAAATGCGACAGGGTTATAATCCTAATAATTTAAACTTGCATTTTGAATTTTTTATATGAATTAAACAGGATTTTTCTCAATATCGCACAAATTAAAATCGCATTTTAGTCTACAGTGACAAAATCGCAATAATAAATGCACGCAATAATTTCTGAATTTACAGTAGTCTATATTCTGTTATATTTTTCTGCAATGAAATGCAGGGTTAATTTCCTACAACTGTCAAATTCAATGGAATATCTTGAATATTTTTTCTGACTCTTTTTCGTATAAAACCGGATGTGACGTACACTATAATTTGGTGGTAATACACCTAAAAGAAAGATCTGTTCACTATAATTTGGTGGTACTACACCTTAAAGAAAGATCTGTTTACTATAATTTGGTGGTATAACACCTTAAAGAAAGATCTGTTTACCTTACATCCTTCGCATGTAGCCACCCCATAATGTACACCAGTAGCTTTATCTTTACAGATCTTGCACTTCCCAAACGGGAATGGTATGGCTCCTATCGGCATAATCTACTCTCCTGAAAAACTGTGAAACTTTCATATGATTGCAGGTACGGCTTCTTACAGCATTATCTTCATTTCTAAAATAAACCTTTTTAAGATTGCAGGTACGGCTCCATACAGCATTATCTGCATTTCTAAAAAGTTATTGTTCAACTGTTATATAATTGGTACATACAGCTCCCTCTAACACATTAACCATTCAAAAACTGTTTTAAACTTATTTGTTTTGATAAATGGAATCAATCTTTTAATCTTAGTAAGACCAAGTTTAAATACTCAATTAAAAAAAACAGGGAAAATCATTAAAAAAACACAAATTCTATAACAGTAAAAATCTACTATAATTTAGAGGACAGAATGAACACATATTTAGTATCTTGCTAGGTATAATTTAGCTGACAGATGAACACATATTTAGTATCTTGCTAAGTATAATTTAGCTGACAGATGAACACATATTAGTATCTTGCAAGGTATAATTTTGAAACAATCTTGATCTTTTACTTCTGCAATAATCAATTATCTAAAAAGGCTAGCAAAAGAGTGAAAACTTTAGCTGTCTAATGGTTTTTGTAGTAAACTAAAAGTGTTATTAGGTAAACTTGCTTTGATTTTTTTTTATGTGTTTGAGCTTTTGATTTTTGCCATTTGATAAGGGACTTTCCTTTTAGAATTTTCATTGGAGTCGGTATTTTTGTTATTTCACTTTTTTTGGGCATTTTTGGGGAAAACCAGAATACCATGTCAAAGACAAAAGTTCAGAATAAACAAGTGAAACTGTGAGCTACTGCTCACTGATGATACCCCAGCCCAAATATTATGGTAAACAGGAAGTTGTTGAGTGATGAATCTGAAAACGCATCACACGTTATAGCTGACTCATATAAACCCTGAAACTAAATTTCTGAAATCCTTGTATGTAGTTCCTGAGAAAAATGCGACGAAAAATATTCATGGGAAGGACGGACCGACAGACAGACAGAGGTAAAACAGTATACCCCCACTTTTTTAAAGCGGGGGTATAATTAGAGGATGAATATATATAGCAGAGTGACTTTAAGGATTATTTTATATATATTACTAAAGGTAGAAGTAAAGTATGTAATCTCGTGACATTGAAAAAATATGTATTGATATTTACCACTATAAAAAAAATTACTTTATTAATTATTTGAACCAGTAAGTAAAACATTTGCAACTGTCAAATCTCCAATTGACGGTCACAGTCAACTCTTAATTTCAACTACATTCATGACAGTACTGTTTTTCCTGTTCCAATGCATTTCAAAAAGAAATAAAGCATTAGAGAATAATTGTATAAAATTAAATGAAGATAAAAGTTCATGACATTTCATTAATTATTAAGGTGACAAAACTTGATGTCATACAAATGAAAATCTTCAAACAGAAGGTAATATTTCGTTAATGGTAGGATTCAAATTCAATTATCCCATTAAATGATGCTTTTGAGTTTTGAGGTGGGTCACATTTATTGCATTTTCAAATAACTGTGTTGATTTCATACAGTTAATACAGCGGGTCACTCCTAGATTTAGAATCAGTAACAACATTTTAATTGCTGATTTGACACTAAAAAGGAGCCAATGAAAAAATTGCTACATAAAAAAACTGCATCAGTTGTACTTCTGCTAGCTGCAGAACCGTAGCTCATGTGTCCTTATGATATTTTTTGACAATTTGCGGACCACAGATGAGCTACGTTTCCACAGCTATACTTCTGCATGACAATTAAGAACAGCTCTTAATATACTTGGTAAATTTTTACTAAATATTCAAGTCTCTTAGTGATTTATCCTTCTTATTCAAAATCAAAAGTTGTTAACATCATATTAAAAATAATAATAATAATTCTTTATTTAAAGAGGGTTACACAGTAAATTAGCTATAACACTATATTAAATATATCAAAATAAGGAATTTGTCCATGTCAGAGTTGTTATAACCTACCTAACCTGCCTTGTACTTACATGTAGGCCACCTTTAACAAATTCTTTGTTTGATGTTGCCTACCCATGCATTGTAGGGTAGGTAGGTAGGTAGGTAGAGATTTTGTTGTTGTTGAAAACAACTTAAGTTACATGTCTTATACAAGAAAACAACTTTAGAGTGTAAAATAATCTTTAACAAAAAAAATTGAAGCGATCTGTGTCATAAAATGTTTTGGGTAGGCTGCTTTTTAAGTGGGTACATTGTAGATAAAATAAGGCAACATCAAACAACTCAATTATTATTGTTGGCCTTATATAACCAACATGCACAGTCAGATTTTCAATGTTCTAAATCACAAGGTACTGTAAATTCAGAAATTATTGCAAGGTTTTTATTATTGCAAATAAAGCGACTGGGTGAGTATCGCAATAATAAGAACTCACAATCTGATAGATGATATCTGTATGCAGACTTTCCTCAAATCTCAATAATTATTCTCGCATTCTGTCCGTTCTTAAGAAATCGCAATAATAAATGGCAAATAAACTTTTTTTTTATTGTTTACTGTAAAATCTCTGTGAAGCAATGATGACATTCAAAGTTTTATTGAACAACTTGCTGTTGCTGCTGCTGAAACCATTCTATCAGCAAATTGAGGACACTGTTAGTGAAAGAATGTAAAGACATGACTTTTAGGCAGACAATGAACAAAGTTGCCAGTTTTGGAACTTTGTATCCTTGTCTGTCTAAGTATGCAGCAATTGGTCTTGTTTTGCCAGTTTCAACAGCTGATTGTGAAAGGTGTTTTTCATGCTTAAACAGAGTTAAAACACCTTTGAGAAACAGACTATGCCAAAAAGTGCTGAATTGCTCAATGCATATATCAATTGAAGGACCAAAGCAGGAAGATTTTGATTTTGAAAAATGTGTGGGGACCTTTGGAAAGTTGAAACAGAGGAAGATATCAACAAAATAATGTACATGGCATTAATTTGTAAATAACTAGTGCAGACTGGATTATTTTTATTATTGTTTATAATGTCTTTCATTAATTCCTCTCATATGTAATAAATACTTTAAAGTTCCATGACTTACCTATAATAAAACAATCAGATTGGTATATGGCTATAAACATATAAATTATGTAGTGTAACTAATTCTGAAAAAGAATCATTGCACGCCGCCTTGCAAATCCACAATGGACCCACCATGCATGAAAAATTTTCTAGGGAAGACACTGAACGCACGCATTAATTTCTGAATTTACAGACATAGTAATTGTCCACTGTATTAGGGAAGACATGCAGATTTACAGACATAGTAATTGTCTACTGTATTAGGGAAGACATGCAGATTTACAGACATAGTAATTGTCTACTGTTTTAGGGAAGACATGCAGATTTACAGACATAGTTATTGTCCACTGTATTAGGGAAGACATGCAGATTTACAGACATAGTAATTGTCTACTGTATTAGGGAAGACATGCAGATTTACAGACATAGTAATTGTCCACTGTATTAGGGAAGACATGCAGATTTACAGACATAGTAATTGTCTACTGTATTAGGGAAGACATGCAGCTACTACCTTATTTAGACATATCATTCTGACTCTGAATCAACCAATCTTTCCTCCTACTCTTAAATGATTGGCATAGAAGCAGATAATTTGCTCAATACAGTGGACAATTGTCTGATGATTAGTTTTGATATACCAAAAGCATCATTTATACAGTGTACTCGCTCATACATGTCATATAACTCAAATACCTATTTGAAGAATAAATGTGTGAAAAAATGTAAATCAGAAAGCAATTCAACAACACAAGATATCAAAGACATCTAGGTCAACATACAATTTTCAAGGTATAAAGAAAAGAGCACCTGGGATTCAATGTGACATCTAGGTCAACATACAATCTTCAAGGTATAAAGAAATGAGCAGCTAGGTTTCAATGTGCCCCGCTGATGCACATATTTTATCTGTCCAAGGGCAATAATTTTTTGGTTCTTTTAAACCTTTTCATAACCAAATATCCTACAAGAAATTGCACGAATCGCGGACATAATTCTGTTTTTTTTCATATAATTTCTATTTTCAAGGGGCATAACTCCTGTAAAAATAGAATATTGGTGTCAATTACATGTATCAAACTCTTTTTATACCTTGCAGTTGCAGATGTAAACCTTTGTTAAAAATTTCATGAAAATACAACATGGTTTAAGAGTGCTCACAATGCAGTGTTCAATATAAATTACATTTTAAACATATTTAAGCTAAGGGACCAGGTAGTTCCTGTAAAAATAGGTGACGAGCACTGATTTTCAAATTTGCCCACGACATACTAATATTTAATATAAATCTTTGATTTTTTAATCTGAGAAGAAATTCAGGCTTAAGAGTGCTTATAATAGAATTTTTCATTTCAAAGGGATGTAACTCCTGAAAAATAATTGATCAGTACTGATTTTTGAACTTGCCCCTGGCTGAGTACTTGACGATATAAACCTTCGATATAAATTTCATTACAATCCTACAAGAAATCAAGGCTTGAGAGTACTTACAATGCAATTTTCCATATAATGAATATTTCAAAGGGGTAATAACTCTTTTAAAAATAGTTGATCAGCACTGTTTTGATATGTCTGAGACCTTTGATATCAATTTAATAAAAATCTGTCAAGATATTTACAGATGAGAACCCTTACACTATCTGGCAGGTGGATGAATTAATGGATGCTAGGTATTTCTATGTCCACTGCACTGCATTAATTGTGCAGGGGACAATTAATTTCTAAAAAAAAATGTCGACTTTAAAGTCTGAAATGAGGAAAGTTTTTCTCATTCAAGGAAACACCCTTTTTGTTTTTGAAACCCCAATAAAACTAAAGTGAAAAACAAAAGATAAATCCAGGATTTTGAAGAAGAAAAAAGGGATGGGGAACCTGATTGAAGGCAACATTATGAGCAGGACTTGTAAAAAGTATATGCAGTAACGATTTAACCATTTATGTAGCTCCATAAAGGGGACCCAGAAACCCCTGCCCCCACCCTCCCCCCCCAAAAAAAAACCAAAATCCCCATAATAAAATATCACTCACTGTATTAACACCAAATCTTCACCTGAGTTAATAAGCTTTTCCAGGTCTTCATTGATTTTCTACAAAGAACAAAACTTCAACTAAATAACTATAACATATTTTATTCATAAATCAGGGAAAAACATAAAAGATACAACTATTAATAGAACAACAATAAGATCAAATAATACCACAAGATGCACATTTCAACAATTTTAATTACGTTGTCTCTTCAAAGATCTTCATGGACAAAATATCTGCACCTGAGATTATGATAACAGTATTAACATGATTAAAAAGCTTTCTACATTTTCATTGATTTTATACAAAGAATATCATCAACTAAATAGAACAATGGCTATAACATGTATAACATCCCTATTCAAATAAATCAGGGGAAACACAGCAGATAAAAGTTTTAAATAGATCAATACATGTAGCACAAGTAAAGGAAGAACAAAGCTGAAATAAATGAAAAATATAAAAGATTCTTTGTGAAAAGTCAATATTATCAGAGACATATATAGTGCTATATATGTCTCTGATTTTATAATTTAATAACCAATTTGTATGTCACTGTTCATCCAACATTGTGCAGATCACAACTGACATATTGGAACGAGAGAAAAAAACAATTATGTGAATTTAGTTTACTTTATTTAATGTGCATATATGACGAGTAAAAATAATAAAATATTTTTCTTTTATAGAAACCAATTAGATCCAGTAATATCAAAAAGACCTACTTGATCACACTGGTCAAACTTTAGTGAATACTCAGTCATTTATATGCACAGCTTTCTAGCTAGAAAACGACGGAAGAGGGGCACTGTTCTGATAAAAAGGGTATGGATGGGGTTTACATTATAGAGAATAATGGGCAAAAAAATAAAGAATAGAAAATAATAGAGAGCTAAAAAAAAATAAAGGATGCGAGGCCAAAAAGTAAAGAACAAAGAAAAATTGTATAAAAAATAAAAATAAATGGGAAATGTGTCCATGGGACACAGATGATGCCCCCACTTGCATATAACGTTATATAGGGACATAACTCAAAAACTGTAAAAGTGACGCTACCCAAATTTGTACTTGATCTGAGTTTTGTGGTAATTAGTATTGTGCATAAGTTTCATAACATTTAGTTGAGGCAATCTAAAGTTAGAAAACAGAAACAAATATTTCAGCAATTTTTCCATTTGTAAAGGGGCATAACTCTAGAAAGGTAAAAGTGACGCCACCAAAATTCAAACTTGATTTGTGTTTTATGGTAATAAGAATTGTCTATAAGCTTCATAACATTTGGTTGAGGCAAAGGAAACGAAAAATTCAGCGATTTTTTCATTTGTAAAGGGGCATTACTCTAGAACGGTAAAAGTGATGCTACCAAAATTCAAACTTGATCTGTGTTTTGTGGTAATAAGAATTGTCTATAAGCTTCATAACATTTGGTTGAGGCAACAGAAATGAAAAATTCAGCAATTTTTTCATTTGTAAAGGGGCATAACTCTAGAACGGTAAAAGTGATGCCACCAAAATTCAAACTTGATTTGTGTTTTGTGGTAATAAGAATTGTCTATAAGCTTCATAACATTTGGTTGAGGCAATGGAAATGAAAAATTCAGCAATTTTTCCATTTGTAAAGGGGCATAACTCTAGAAAGGTAAAAGTGACGCCACCAAAATTCAAACTTAATTTGTGTTTTGTGGTAATAAGAATTGTCTATAAGCTTCATAACATTTGGTTGAGGCAACGGAAACGAAAAATTAAGCATTTTTTTCACTTGTAAAGAGGCATAACTCTATACGGTAAAAGTGATGCCACCAAAATTCAAACTTGATCTGTGTTTTGTGGTAATAAGCATTGTCTATAAGTTTCATTACATTTGGTTGAGGCAACGGAAACGAAAAATTAAGCATTTTTTTCATTTGTAAAGGGGCATAACTCTAGAACGGTAAAAGTGATGCCACCAAAATTCAAACTTGATCTGTTTTTTGTGGTAATAAGCATTGTCTATAAGTTTCATTACATTTGGTTGTGGCAAACTAAAGTTAGAGAATGGAAACAAAAAATTTAGCAATTTTTCCATTTGTAAAGGGGCATAACTCTTAGGAACCGTTAAAGTGACGCCACCAAAATTCAAATTTTATCTGTGTTTTGTGGTAATAAGCATTGTAATAAATTTCATAACATTTGGTTGAGGCAAACGGAAAACATACAGACGGACAAGGGTAAAACTTAATGCCCCCCCCTTCACTACGGCGGGGGCATAAAAAATACAGAAATGATGTACTCTCCATTTAGACCCTCATAAAAACAATGCACATCACTAAAGTTTTCATTTTTACAACAGATTTATCTTTTAAAATCATAAATATAAGAAGCCCCCTTCATCTTATTTCTTTCCTTCTCACATATCATGGGAGGACTCCAATATCCTCAGTGGTGTGTGTGCGGGGAGGGGGGGGGGCATTTATTATGTAATGAGTAGCAAGGATGAGCTGCTCGAATAGGTTACTATTTTTTGCTTAAAAATATCATGAATATATGATAAAGTTGAGAAATTGAGATGAAATAAATCTTACAGTTGCTGATTAAATCAAAAGTTTCTCAAACTAATCAAATTTCTATATTTTTCATAGATGCAATTAAAACCAGTCAGAAATACATAAGGTATTTGTCAAATCTATTTTTCTCTCCATGAAATAGTGTTGTCTCTTTAACATATTCTCCATTTCCATGATTTCCATTCTCAATTTTTATCTTAATCATGATTACAGGTGTATTTTAGTAAAAAAAATACATGATAGAGTATAAATCATGTATAAATATGTTTTTCTGTTATTTAAAATATATATGAAAAGGATAAGGTACTGGATGTTACAGCTGGCCATCCTTATCAAAAAATAGTTATTAAACAATTAATTGTACATTTCACTATATCAAATCATTTAAAATGATCTCATGCAACTAAAGCTATTACTCTGGAAAAAAAAAGATTAATGGAAAGGAGTAGGTCCGGTAAGGGCTGATTTTGGCCTCAAATTTCAGGTTCATCTGATGAAAGATATTGGTCACTTTTTAAACACTTAAGTGTCTACTTCAGTAGATTCAATTAGTTTATGTGACAGATTTGAACTGATTTTATCATTAAAGACGCTCAGATTCAAGCTTAAATATGAAAAATCTATCAAATATGCCATAATATGTCACTTTTCAGATGGTTTTTGTCAAAAATGAAAGTGGCCGCATCCGTGTTCAGTCTCAATCTTTATATATGTTATGTATTATCATCAAATACAACTTGCATTTAAATATTAAGAATGAACACAAATGCGGCCACTTCCATTAAAGACTGAAACTGTCTAAAATTTAACTCAAATTCTCAAATTGTGAAGATTTCAGTAATTTAGCATGGCTTAATGATGCTAGTACCCGATACATGTGCATTGTATTGTCAAAAACTATGGAAAGCCAACAGGGTCAAAATTCTTACTTCGTAACTTGTCAATTTGTAACTTGTAACTGTGTGATTTGTCAATTTGTATATTGATGTTTTGTAATTTGTCGATTCGTAAACTGTCAATTTGTATATTGATGTTTTGTAACTTGTCGATTCGTAAATTGTCAATTTGTATATTGATGTTTTGTAACTTGTCGATTCGTTGGAATATATACCGAAGTAATTTAAATCAATTATAATTCTAGAATTATCATGGTACTAGATCGAAATATACTAGGTGTCCCCTCAAGATATTTTGTTTATGACCATGATCGTAAAACCATGAAACTGTTTATTTTTTACTACACGCGTCACCTACATAAAATTGAGAATGGAAATGGGGAATGTGTCAGAGAGACAACAACCCGACAATAGAGTAGACAACAGCCGAAGTCCACTAATGGGTCTTCAATGCAGCGAGAAACTCCCGCACCCGGAGGAGTCCTTCAGCTGGCCCTAAACAAAAATGTATACTAGTTCAGTGATAATGGACGTCATACTAAACTCTGAATTATACACAAGAAACTAAAATTAAAAACGATACAAGACTAACAAAGGCCAGTGGCTCCTGACTTGGGACAGGCGCAAAAATGCGGCGGGGTTAAACATTTTTTTTTTAAATCTCAACCCCCTCCTTATACACATACTTTTAACCAAAGTGACACCCTATCCCTTTGACTTGTCAGAGAAAAGATCTCGCCATCTCACTATTTGCGTGACAGAGGCAATTATCTCCAATATGCTTACACTAATTTTATTTCTCCATGAAAATATTTGCACATGATTTTGGGTTTTGCCCAGGGGTATGTATTGGGTCATTTTTAGAGTAAAATGGTAGCTTGGGATTCTGGCTGACTGCTCAACAGAAGAGCCAGGCAGAATACAACATAGTTTGTCAATTGGATATCAGGATTATATTGTTACGAATTCATTGCAAATGATTTTTTATTCTTTATGACATGCAATTTGAAAAAAAAAAGCTTTATTGAGTAATATCGTGAATCTTTTCGGTTAATTAACGATCCGATCGTCAAAATATTATATTTGGTAAGTTTGCCGGGCTATAAGGAGGTGTGGCACCGGGTGACCGTGGGGTTCATATCGGGAGTACTGGGCGTTAAGTAGCTGTTGAGATCGAGGGACTCGTGAATATTTTGGTCTTTTTCGTTGTATATTTTTATAGAACGGAAATCTGGTAGCGGCAATTTTTAAGTTTCTTGACCAGAAAAATTCAGTAGGCATGTATATTAATATATATATATATGTGTCAGTCCTTTTCCTCCTGCCAGAATGAAATGGTCCGATAATAGCATTTTAGGATTAATAGAAATCGTTTATTACTAGTACCTGGGTTTTCCAGTAATGATGTAGCCTTTTATAGCCGACTATATGGTATTAGGTTTTCTCATTGTTGAAGGCCGTAGGTTGCCTATACTTGCTTACATCAACTTTATTTAAACCTCGCTTTGGTGGATAGTTGTCTCATTGGCAATCATACGGTTTATTACCACATCTCCTTATTGTATTCACCTGAATAATCCAGTCGTTATATAACACTGACCAACGCAATAAGGAGAGATC